GTTTGAATCTTGATTTGATAGTGCTTATTATTCTCCTTTCCTCCACTGCAAGATTTAATGTTCTAGTAGAGCAGATTTCAGTGCCTAGTCACCTCTCTCTGTCTATCTCTTTCTTTCTGTGTCTGTCTGTCTCTCTCACCTACATCATGTGCTGCACAGTGAACACTTCAAATTCAGCGCGGCACGTGATACTTTGGAAGACAGCCTTTGTGGGAGGGGACAAGGCACATGGACTGGACGCAAACACGCAAACACACTCACACATGCACACAGATACACACTCACACATTGCCTCTCCCAGATTACTTGAACTATCAGAAGCTTTAAGAGGATTTCACAATGGGAGGGTGCTGCACTTGAATCTCATGCACCTGATGGCTATTGATCCATTATAAGCTTGCACACAGACACAAATGCGAAACAGGCACAGTTGTTACTTCTTGTCATTATAAACAAGCTTCTGACCTTGCTTCTTCATTTTTCAGTGTTAAGTGTTGTTGGGGTTTCTACCCTGCACCAGTTTTCTCCTTTGAATTCAGGTCTACAGTACAATCTTTTAAAATAGCATAGCCCGATCTATCTGCATCACAAGACTGAGCTGTTGCACAGGAAGCAGCCAAACAGTAATCTACACCTTATTAAAGAGGAAAACGTACATGAAGAACGAGAATGTCACTTTCTTTACACAGTTTTTCCGTTGTCAGCAAGTGAAATAGATAGATAGATAGATAGATAGATAGATAGATAGATAGATAGATAGATAGATAGATAGATAGATAGATAGATAGATAGATAGATAGATAGACTTTATTAATCCCCAAAGGGAAATAAATAAAATAAATAAATGTGTCCATAAACAGTATACTCTAGCTGTCGGGCTTATTAGCAATGCTGATGTGAGTGGAAGATTAGAAGGGTGGTGTTGTCTGTAATGGAGGAGACGGAGATGTGTAGGTTGATAAACAAAAGGTTGCAATCAGCAAGCTGTCATGCGAGAAAACGGGATAACATCATGTAGAATGTTTGAGGAAAGGAAGGTGATCATCAGGATTACATTTGATGGAAATGGTTTATGTGTTATTTCTGACAACCTTTCCCTCGCAACCCACATTCGATTTACATTTTTCGGTCAAGATATATAAAAATTGGTCAGTGTCACTTTACTCTAAATCAGTGGTTGTCAACCCTTCCTAAGTAACGCCTTATCATGGCCCAACTATAGCCTCTCATTGAAGATGTGAAATGCAGGATGGTGAACTTTTCTACAAAATATTGACTTTTACCGAGGCTACCTTCAATATTTAGTTGTAATTCACACATGATTTGCCTTTTCATATACCTCTTTAGTTTATCCTCTCACATATATTATTCAAAAATATGCTAAATTATTAGGAAGAAAAGACATCTAAGATCAAAGACTGGATAATGTAATTGTATCTGTTAAACCATATTTTTTGCACATTCCATATATTATCCTTTGATGCCCAAAATAATTCCTTAGTCCACTGGGTGGAGATAAAACAATGTGTTGTTAATAATGCACCTCCAGCTATTATAGACACAGTTGTTCTTTCAAAAGAGGATACTAAAAGCAAAACAGCAGTGACTGGCTGTTAAAGTTTTGTGCCATCATCTTTCTACCTGAGAATGTCTGACAGATAATCTGTCTCTCAACAGTCTTTAGCGATACTTACATGACAAACAGCAGCATTTTGTTCTGTGAGCTTTTTATAATACAGTCAGAACCTGTTCGATGACCTTGTTGTCACTGAACGGACAAGTGCATCAACAGATGAATAGTTGAATCATCTGGAGTAACATTTATCTGTTGTGCCCGTAGACATGTTTTGGAGAGGGGACAGATCATACCCCGCGCAGAATGAAGGATAAGCTTGTGGATTTTTTTCCCCGAGTCCAGTTTTGATTTGGTAATTATGTGTGTATTATGTTTTCAGCCTTGACAAATGGAGTTCTGCAGGTTCCTGCTCAAGGCTGGATTTGGGCTCATTTCTTTTAAGTTTATGTGAAAAATAGCTGACTTGTGGCCATATTTGATTTATACTTTCTATTCTATTTCATAAGTAGAGGAAAAGCAACCGATTTATCACCATGTTGTAAAAGTAATGTAACAAAATACCATGCACACAAAGCTTATACTCTCACACTCTTTTGTAGTTTTCATACGCTTCCCAGATATAGCCGTTTCTCTTAGGAAACCAGGAGCAGCACACCTGACTGATGATTGTGAGAAAAGGTGTTTTTTTCTTAGCACATTTTAATTAAGGCTGACACTAGCTAATTCACAACATGCATTTCCAGTCCCTCTTGGGTCTGGCTTGGCTGTTTCATTTGCTGGTGTTGAGCCAATGTGTCTGTGATTATAAGACCAGCAATGCTTCAACCACATCTGGACACTGGTGGGACTTGCCGGCTGCTGGGCTATCATTACAGATGATCACTTGATGACAGCGAGTGTAAAGCGCTATTTAGATGGAGGCAGCAGCTCTGAACAGGCTTTTTCATATGCTCTGCTTTTTATCCTATTGTGTTCCCCCCCCCCTGGACCTAACCAATGTTGTGTGAGTTATTCATTTCCACACACAGAAACATCCTGCTGGTTGCAGAATTAAAGGCTGTGTAGATCTTTTTGAAGCAGTTTTTTAAGAGGTGAAGATACATTTCTTCCTGCCCAATTGACAAAAGAAGCCACATTTGAGACAGATCTTTTATGTGCTATAGATCAGCTTTTGGAAAGAGGCTACATAACTGACATGTAGCAGAGAAGATTTTAATTGCTCCAGAGAGCTCAAGCTGTTGAGTCATCAAGCTGTTATTCAAATAACGATTTTAGCAATGTAAATATGTCAGATACATAATCAGCTGTTTTACATCATTTCAGATGCTCAGCTGTTTCATGTCTCTCAGTCTGAGAGGGTTTCTTTTTTGTTTGATGAAAGAGCAAAGGACAGAAATAGAAAAACAGACATAGGAGGAGGAAGTGGAAGACGATTTTTTTTGTAGAGAGGCACGCAGCAGGGAGCAGGCTGCTGTCTCCTTGTCCGATGCCCTTGGAGTGCAGCTTTGTGGTGTGAACTCCCATAAGACCTCGCTTTGTTCTCAGAAGATGAGGGCTAGCAGAGTGTGACCGTGCACTTACACCTGAAGCCATCAGAAGCGGAGGGAATAACACTTTTATACCGTACGACGCCCGTCTGCTCTCATCCCCAAATGTTCCTGGCCACAAACAGGCCAAGAGGTCCTCCTGGAAATACTACACGCCTTCACACAGATGCAGAGAAACAAGCTGTCAGTCGACTGCCGTCGCACACAAAAGTACAGACCTGCATGTGCAGATACACAAATGGCACTTTGGATGTCAGATTTTCATCTTGTTCGAATGCACAGTTTGACATTTGCATAAAAAGGAATATGCGATGTCTTGCAAAATTGCAAAACAGCAGCGCTCACTATTGAGATTAATTTAGGAGCAACTACACAAGGAATATTGAAATATTGATCAGGGTGATGACAGAAGATCAATGCCAGGATAATTACACTCTGGTCAACGGACTATGAATGGCAACACGGTTCTGTTTAATTTGCATATCAGCTTTGTGACAGGCTCAGGCTTGTTACAGTATCCTTGTCACTGATAGGCAAACTGCAGTAACACAGGAGTGTTTGTGTGTCACCTAATAAAGTCCAGGGGAAAGTGACAAGAGTAAAATCCTTGTAGATAAGACAGAATATCAGGCTAAAAGCAATGTGTCCTACATCCTGCGTCCCACATCTTTCTCTCAGAGGAGCAGGGATAGATAACACAGAGGAGTGAGACTGGCAGGCAGGAAAGAGGGGAAGGAAAGGGCCACTGTTATGGACACAACAATAGCGCTGTAGCCTGACAAGTCATTTAGTGTGACAGCAAGGATTTTGCAAGACTGTTTAAGATTTAAGTGTTAATAAGGATTATTAGATTGTTTTTGGATTGTTTGTTTGGTCTAATTCTCGTAACAATTTGCAGCCCAAGCTAACATCTTAAATGTCCAAAAGAAAGGTATAGTTTACAGTCATACTGCATGCTCACATTGGAGAAGATGGAACCAGAGAATATTTGCTGTCTTTGCTTGATAATTGACTTCAAACTATCAATTGATTGTCAAATTGATGCAGATCAACTTCCTGTCACTCCGCTAATCAACTGATCAACTAATCGTTTCAACTTTAATACAGCGTGAACTCACTTGAGCTTTTTGTACACAGAGAACCTGTTCTAGATTGGCATACAGCATGTTCAAATGTCTCATTTTTCCTCATAAAACACTCGGTTTGATGCTTTGCTGCTCTTTTATAGAACACCGCTTCTTTTCTGGTCTCTGAATTTGGTCAGCTGCCAAATACTTTACTTCTCTGTTTCTATTTCCACTCCCGCACCCCATCCATTTCTCTCTCTCTTTGTTTACCTGTCACACTGTATACACTCATTCAATAGCTGAGTTACATCAGTGAAAGCTAGAAATACTAACAGCTGAGAGAGAGACGGAGCTATGGGAGGGGAACAGAAGGCATGTTAGTGTCCTGGTAGCATGGTCGAGTGCTGGACTCTGGCATCCATCTGTCACTTTCTTACACCCTCACTGGCACTGACGGGTCATGGCAACGGCAGCCTGTGACGGATGACTAATCTTTCCCTGGTAATGAATGAGACACCACCCCTTGAATGCCAAGAGGGTTCTGGTGGCGAGGGTGGCTGCCTCACTGGCAACACAGAAATCATATGATGAATGGTATGCAAGCATGATGTCCCATGTCTGTGCCAAGCAAAATGCAGTGCTGCTGCCAGCTAAGGAGAATCTCTAGTGAGAATTTCATGAATCATGGTCTGAAAACATTGACATACAGTGCATCTATTAGTTCTGCTTATTTCCCCTCCTCTTCTGTCTTAATGCATGTGAAGGAGACAGGAAAAGGGGCAGAGCACAAATGAATCAATATATGCAGAAAATTAAATTGCGCAGGCTTTAATGATGGAAACATGTCATGTGTAGGTGGAACAGAAAAGGACATTGTGGATGATGTAGGCACTGCTCTGTGAGACTGCTGAAGGGAGCTCTGCAGTCGCACCAGTCAAATCGTCTTGACTGTGCGTTGAGTAGCTGAGACCTGTCTTATCTTCACCTCATAATGCGCAGGCGTGATCCTATCTGAGCCCCGCAAAAAAAAAGAAGCTTTTCCCGTCTGAACTAGACGTCGTGCGCGCTGCTCTTCATGTGGTGCTCAAACGAAAACATCTGAGAGGTATATTTTGAAGATCGTGCGCGAATACAGCCGGAGCATGAAGGTTTCTGTGGTAGCTGATCTGTCCGACCAACACAATTCAACCTGTGGATAGTGTGGAGTGCGTCTTGTGGCCACCGGCCAGTCTAGCCTATCTGGGACGCTCTGCCTGCTTGTGCGCGTCTCTGTCTCTCTCTCTCTCTCTCTCTCTCTCTCTCTCTCTCTCTCTCTCTCTCTCTCTTTATTTGTTAAACCGTTGGCTCCGGTCCGTGTCGGCGTGGGATCCGGTGTTCCGTTTGACCTAAGCTGTGAGCAGGTATTCAGTTTATGAATGGCACTGACATGGAGGAAATACCGTTTCAGAAAGTCAAAACCAGGCGGAAGAGAAGTCACTGTCCACCGGGCGTCCCCCTGACCACCATCGCGTGCGAGGACGAGTTTGACTGCAAGGAGCTCGAGTCCCTGTTCCAGAACTACAACCTGAAGCTGGAGCAGACGTCCACTCTCAAAGCCCTGGCCGTGCTCATCTTCATGTCCTCGACGCTGGCCGTGGTGGAGTTGCTGTCCGGCCCCAGCCTCACCATCTCTAAGGGGTCCCATCCGGTCCACTGTGTCATCTTCGTCTCCTTGTTCATCGTAACTAATGTCAAGTACCTGCAAGTGACTCAGCTCCAACAGATTGTCAACCTGACGCTGCTCTTTGGCTTCACTTTCTCTTTCCTGTGCTGTCCCTTCTCGCTGGGCGCGATGGGGATGGAGCCCCCGACGTCCCCGGAGCAAGGCATGTGGCAGCTCATCCTGGTCACCTTCGTCGCCTATGCGCTCCTGCCGGTGCGGACACTCTTGGCCGTTGTTCTGGGAATAATGGTCTCCATCTCGCATCTGATTGTGACTGCCACTTCTGTCACAGTGAAAACGCAGAAACTGTGGAGAACGGTACGTATGTATCTACACGTTAATTGTGGTGCCTTTAGGGGTCTGTGTGTTGATGCGTTGTTGTTTTTTGAATGAAAAGGTCTGTAATCATCTTTATTTTAGCTCCATCTACAGACACATACAGCATATTAAGAAATAATATAGGCCCATGCAATGGAGCACACTATTTAGAGTTCAGTTCAGCACCAAGGACAGCTCCCTGGGGTTAGACTTGATGGGATTTGCCCGGGCTTTGATCAAATCTGACAAAAGTGTAATTCTGTCATGGCCTGTTTTGGTTACAAAAAGACTATAGCTCATGTCAACTATAAAGAAAAATGGTAGATGAGGAGTTTGCCCTTAACTTCTGGTGGCATGTAGTTCTCACACTCCTTAAACACCTGTAAGTAATTCTACAATATTTACTGAGGTTAGGTTGTCGTGGACTGTACTGTATTGGCCTTAGCTGGTGGTGATGCATTCCTGCAGGCCCCTAAAAATAAAAACAAACAAAAGAGAAAAAGAAATGAAAGAGCAAAGCAGTCTGTATATGCTCGTGGCTGTTGCCCTGGGGACATCATTCAGTCCTAACGGACCTGGCTGGGAATGAAGAACCAGAGTGACATCCTGCTAGCACCAGAAGTAGGGCAAACAGAGGGGCAACACTCACACACACACACACACACACACACACACACACACACACACACACACACACACACACACACACACCACTTTCACCACACTATGTGCTTCAGTTATGAAAAAAGAGGGCAAAGTCATGCATGCCATTTCCTGAGCTGAAATAGAAATTGGTACACCACTTTCTGTACATTTATATCTTTGCACCTTTCTCTGTCGCAATGAAACACAGACACGCACACACTGACTGTCATCAGGTGTGAGGAAGGAAGATATGTCACATCAGTCAAACCCTCCAGGGGTAATGGAACATTTCTGCCTCCGTGCAGCCTATGACATGAAGATTGTGCATTTCTTGGAAACAAAATTGAGACGTGATCAGTTCAACACGCCCTCGGATGATGACAGCGTATTTGCCGAGGAGATTGTTTTCCTGTATGTAGGCTATGAGATACCTGCATATCCATGTGAAGGACAGTGTTAGCCGGACTACCAGAGATAGCTAATCCATTAAGCTTAGAGATGAGCTGGGTGGCATGACCCCGCACAGCCCAGGCTTGCACCAACCACCCACCTAGGTCCCAGGCACTCAGCCGACAGTACTGTCTGCTTTCATGGCTCGGTCTACCTGAAATATCTTATTAGTGAAGCAAATGTTGGAGAATATAACTTGATAAATAGGTTATTTCTAATTCCCTATTGTAATGTCGTCTGTGAAGACTGTAGACTGTCCTTTTTAGTGCCACATTTTATTGATACGTCAAAGAGTTATATGGCATTAGTTTACAACCAACAGAGAAAGAATATTATATTAGATCCCAATCCAATGCACTATATAACTATAATGACTGCTATAAACAATGTAACCAGGCCTTTTACTTTGCTGCAAATTAACATTAAGAACAACAGTAATAGCATGCATATTAAATGAAAGCCCTGTATTTTTAAATGGTATTGAACAATACAATGCTACAGGTATACATTCACCATCTCAGTACACTTTTAAAGGACCAGTAAGTAGGATTTAAGTTGCAGATTGCAACAATTTGAATATGGCTCAGCCTTCCAAGCAGGAGAAACTACAGTGGCCACAAAACCCACAGAAAATGTAAAAGCTTCTATTTAAGAGCCAGTGTTTGGTTTGTACATTATGGGCTACTGTAGAAACATGGCAGTTCAGCATGACAGACTCTGTAGAAGAAGACCCACTCCCTCTGTAGATAAAAACGTCTTATTCTAAGGTAATGAAAATGCAATAATTCTTACTCTCAGGTGATTACACTAATGAAAACACACCTATGAATATTATATTCTGTTTTTGCCAGATGATGTTACCCACTGGACCTTTAAAATAATTATTTTACATAATAAAAGTTAATGTAAAGGTGGTAATTTCCTCACTGCGTATAATTACAGGGAGCTCTATCTTACTGATCGCGTATGGGTAAGAGTGCAATGCTTTAAAGATCAATTATTGCAATCTGAAAGGAAATTGGGGTTATCACCACAGATAAGCAGGGGAGTGAGTGCTTTACGCCACTCAACTCAGATGTCCACATTTACTAACTCAAGGCTGTAAAGTAACTTGAGAATCATTTGAACATGTTAATGCTTGCCAGCAGTGCTGCCAAGCACAAAGACAGACTGCTGCTGCCAAACAGTCAACAGGCAATCCATTATTCATTGGAGTAGGAAACATGCCTGTCTGTGGCGAAAGAAGTTTGTTAAATTTGAGAAGTTGTGTGTATATTGTATAAAGCTTTGACAGTATAGTTTTGAAGCTCACTGAAACATAAATGCCCTGAAATGACACTATATTTTTTATTGCTGTACAAAACACTTTGATAAATGGCCTAAGACATGAGCAGAATGAAACTCTTTATTCTTAGAAATATATAATTACTGCCTGGGGTGACAGTTTGCTAATATACACTCTATGGGTGAATACAGGACCTTGTTTGGTTTGTGTACAAAGTCATAGCCAGCCAACCTCAGCCAAGTAGAAAAAAATGCTCTTTTCTTTGTGTCCTGCGCAAGGTTGAAGCAGTCATGCTGCTGTGCATCTGCTGTGATGGATGAACCAGAGCACAGATTCTCAAACGTTTTAATGTCACAGACCCCAAAATAGAGAAATATTAGACCCCACCACCCTCTCACCCATCTCTCATGTAGGAGGATGTTTGTTGCTCTTCATTTAGTATATTTTTACACCATCAGTACATGGGGGAATCAAAGTGGTGAAAGTAAAATCTGTGATTAGAATAGTTATACGTAGCCATATAGGGCATGTTTTCCAAATGTAACAGTTAATAATGGCGCAGTTTATAGTGAATTTGTTCAATTTAATTCAATCCAGTGCAACTTTATTTATCCCTGTAAAGGCAATTGTAGCTTGCTACTCAGATCGACAGACGCATACACAATAGGATAGGAGATAGATAGGAAAAGAAAGAAAAACAATAAAACAGTGAATCACTAAACAAAAAACTAAATTTAAAATAAAAAAGTTTAAAATAAAATATTTGTGGAATTTATTATATATACATTAATGAATAAATATACATGTCTAAAAAATATCTAAAAAGAGATATTTAAAGACACTGTCACATATGTACATAAGTATAGACTGTATTACTCTATACATACAAATATTAAAAATGTTCTGTGCACCAATACAAATGTATAAACATAGAATATCAATCAAATTACATATTTAGGATTTGATTATTTATGTACATAAATAAAAATACAAATGAACATTTCATTCATCATTCTTAAGCACATGTGCATATAAAGTGACACATAGAAGATACATAAGAATGAACACAAACACAGAAACAGTCAGGACATCTCCTAATGATTTCCTAACACTGTGTGTGTCTTTAATGACTGTGCTAAAAAAATTAAAACAGTGTGTTTCATGGTTTTTTTTCCCTTTCTGTTTGCAGTTGGTTGCCAACACAGTGCTGTTCACCAGTGTCAACCTGTCAGGGCTGTTTGTGCGCATCCTGACAGAACGAGCCCAGAGGAAGGCCTTCCTGCAGGCTCGCAACTGCATTGAAGAGAGGCTCCGCATGGAGGATGAGAACGAGAAACAGGTACAGGCACCTGTACACATCTGAAACTATTGGTAAAATTGTGTGTCTATGTTTTTTTGTTATTTTTTTCCCCCAACTCTCTTTCTCTCTCTCTCTTTCTCTCTCTTGTGCTGTGAGTCATTTCGACACATTATTCATTTCTGATAGATTTCATGCCTTTATGTCTAGCACATTTCTTATCGCTACTAACACTTTGTCCTATGATAACTTTGCTGTGTTTGACTGTATAAATGTATATTTAAACTTACTTTATCTTTTCTCTTTCTCTTTCACTCACACACACACACACACACACACACACACACACACACACACACACACACCCACACAGGAGCGCCTGCTAATGAGTCTGTTGCCCAGGAACGTAGCTATGGAGATGAAAGAGGATTTCCTGAAGCCCCCTGAAAGGATCTTTCACAAAATCTACATCCAGCGCCATGACAATGTCAGGTAGGATCCTTAAATCGACTCAACACAACTGCAGACCAATTGCAGTGATATTTAAACCCCTGTTAACTGCAAATTAACTAAACTAATACTGCTTTTAACAGTGGTATTTGGAGATGCTATTTTCTCCTCATGGGAGAATTTCTTGCTGAAATAGTGGCATAAACGCTGTCTCAATGCATTACGGTGCATGCTAAAAAGGGAACTGAGTAACTTGACCAAACATGTCCTTTGGAAAGAACACTGAGGGCTACACAATGTAGTGTGATCTGACCCAACAGTGTCCTAAAACATTAACAGGGCCCCAGGCTGCAAAAACTGAAATATTTAATTCTTCATGTTGAATATCAAGGGTTGGCCTGTGACTCACTTGTTTATTATCAGTCCTGAAAACACTGAAGTCCAAAGACATTAGGTTGCACTTTTCATTTGTTTAACATGGGTGACAAATTTTGGAGCAATGATAGAGAAATGCTATATGAGTAACAAGGAACTGACCCAAATCCAGCAATATTTTTGCTGCGCTAAGGCTAATATGCCAGTGGTGCATATGCCAAATTGTGGGCCATAATATCTCAATAGCCCCCAGGGGAAACAAGGCTTTAGGAGTTAGGGATCCTACTGGGGAAATAGAAAGGCACATTAAGCAATGCTTAGTGAGGAAGAGATTCCTCTGGCACTTATGCAATGTCCTGCACAGTTGCCAAGCTCCCAACAGTTTAATAGCAATGCGTTCTGTCTTACGATCATTACTTTTTGCTACGGGTTAATGGCTATGGCATACAAATTATCTCACAGTGGGTACAGCAGAATTTTTAGCTGTAAAAGGTAGTTAATTGATATTATTTATTCCTCTCTCCTCCAGTGTCTCTCTTTGAGAAGTTAACTGCTTTTTCAGAAGACATTAGCTAACATACTGAATCAAAACAAAGCTGACACAATTTGGGCTTATAGAAGCAGTTGTTGGAAAACCATGACAGTTCAGTAAATTTCCACCTTTATGCCCTCCTTTCATCATCTTTCCTCCCTCCCAGCACTTTTTTACCTCGCCCCCCCTCCTTCCAGCGAACAAACCAAAAATGTTCCAGTTTTGCTTGATGTTTGAGCACATTTAACGTCTTATTGTCTTCATTGGGCTGCTTTACAATCTGTGTTCAGATACTTTACATAAGAAAAGTAGCAATATCCCAATGCACATAAAAATACTCCAATGCAAATGAAATTACAGCATTTAAAATATTATAAAAACAGTATCATCAGCAATATGTATCAAAAGTAAAATTACTCAATATACGGCATTTTAATGTCGTAGCAGGTCGAGACAAAGCTGCTTTTACTACTTTATATACTATTGGGTAGATTAACCTGAAGCAACAAATCAGATTTTCTAAACTGATTATATTTTTTGTATGTAAAATCTTAATCTCTAAAGTAAATAAACCTGTAAAGATGAATGTAGCGGAGTAAAAGGTTGCATCAAATGGAAATACACAGGTGAAGTACAAGTACCTCTGAATTGCATTTCAGAACAGTCCTTGTGTTAATGTACTTAGTTACAATCCTGCATCTGTAGTTGGCTGTGACTGAGCGTTTAACCCCTCGGCATTAAAATGTAAACAGTATGTATGAAAACGTTTGCATTCACTCCTCCATTCTCTGCAATGTAAAAGTCAGATTTTCTTAATTCTCTACTTCATCACCTACTTTAATCTGCATCTTTTTACTGTATTATTAAATCTCCTTTATCATGCTCCAATGTTTCCTTGTTTCCCGTTCTTATCTTCTCATCTTCCTCCTTCCCTCTGTGTTTTCAGAGCAGCAGGGAGGCTTGAGGAGGAGAGTTTGCTTAGCCCCAGGATTAAGTTGCTACAGGGGATTAAATGCAATGGAGACTAAATTCTTGTTGCATAACGCTGTACGTGTGTGTGTGCCTATGTGCGCACGGTGGTTAAATATGGACACATCTCAGTGGAGCTCTGCTGATTGCTTTTGTGCCTCGAACTCCTTCAGATAGCGCCACCCTTTGAGAGTGATCTAGACTGGATGCAGACATGATTTATGTGATTTGGGTGGACCGTAATTAGAAAGTAAACAGTGTGCAGCACAATGTACTCAGTTTTCTTTATTATGTTCTAAGACTGTGAGTAGTGTTTGATCTGATTAAAATCCAGCCAGGGGGATATTGTAGTAATCACTCACTAAAAAAAAAAAAAAAGGACTCCAAAGTAAAAAAGTTTATTTAACAAGAAATGTGGGATATTATTGCCCGATACTGACATAAACCCTGATTGTTTTAGGGGTTGTAAAGTAACAGTTACATTTAAGTAAGATACATTTAATAAAAATATAAATCCTTAAAAATGCTTTTAATTAAAAACAACAATGATTGCTATAAGGAAAGGACAATTTTTAACCAACAGTAATTCTTTCAGAATTGTTCCTTAATTCATCAAGTTGTCTCTAATAAATAGCATTTTTATTATTTACATGATAATAATGTGAAAACAGTGATAAATTATGAGCATGCAATGTTTAATATCACATGGCTCTTTTAATGAAAGCGCTTTCTAATTTGTCATTACTTTATAATTTAGCACCCCCTTTAATTCAACATGTATCTTCACAGCTTGTTGTTTTTTAATTCACAAGCATTTCCAGCATGCCTATTCATAATGTTTCATTCCAATTATTAGAAAAAGAATGAGTTCCCTTCAATGTTGTTTCCACATTTACCTACTTGGGTCACTGACGGGAGATTTTATAATGTTTGTAGATGCTCATTCACGTTATCGCAAAGAAAGTTACAGCTCATCTTTCTCAAATGTGCTGTTAGCACCTTGCACACTCTTCTGTGGTAGCCTTTATTGGCCCGACATCAGCACTTACACTGCCCACATACTGTAGCTCCAGAGGGGCCCGTCCAAAGTTAACCCTTGAGTTGGCTTGCGTCTTCCACTATGTGATTAAATTGAAATCACATCAGCCAAAATAGCTACAGTAATGCCTCCCACAGAGGGAAATGGGAGATTAGCATAAATGGGGGAATAACTTTCCTTGAATATGTGCCATTGGAGAGGAAATAATGGATGAAGGTGTGAGGGAGCTTGAATTAGACAATATTAGATAGTAAAGTTCTAGTTACCCAGGGAAAAATCATGTTTGTATTACATGGCTTAATCATTTGAAATGTAGTGCCTTGGCTGCTAGATGATAGAGTTTTCTTGCGTTGGGGATGAGGATTTGACCTTGAGAAGTGAACATGGTACAGTAAGTTTGGTGGTAGGCAACGGCTGCAGCTCAAGTAACTTGTAGCTGTTGCCTAGAGTGCCGCAGTGTTTGTTTTGAAGATTTTGCCGGAGGACATTCAAAATCAGATACAGAAGTTCACAGTCTGCGATCCCTGTGCATTTCAGTGGTCCAGCTCATAATAACACGGGTGCTCTGGAGATGTAAGACTCCTCAATGAAACCTGTTCTTTACACAAATGCAAATTCTGTCAGATTTCATTGGCAACCTACAGTGAGTCTTCTACATGAAGTACAATTTAGCACTTTTGCACATGGGTGTTGAAAAAAATCATGTTTTGCAGATATAATATTAAAAGTAATGCGGTGTATTTCAAAATAAACCCCATCCATTTGTGGCATTAAGCATGCTCGGGGGATGCTCAGTAGCTCACCTGGTTGAGTACACAACCAGTTCCTTTCCTGTCAGTCTCCAGCTGTCACTATCAAATAAAGGCAAAATGAGCCCAAAAAATCCTTAAAACAAAAGCTGCATGCTCAGCACACACACACCACACTCATATTTGTCTTTATGATTTATTGTATCTGCCTGCCCTAGCACACATGGCTACAGTTTCTAATTAGCAAATAAACTTATGTGTTTTAATGTGTATTCCTGGATTTGTGTACCTTTATGATGTGCTAAGCAGAACAGGCTGTTCATGTTGGTAAGGTACTTAATCAAAAACGTTTTTATTAGCTGAATATGCAGTTACTGACACAAACATTTGTGGCTTATTTTGAATTTAGCAGCATCTTCTGACCTATATTACATGCTGGTCGCAAACCTTTTCACTGGTGCTGTACACAGTTTAGAGAATATGCCACCATACTGACGTAACAGTCGATTTCTCTATCATTGTAAATCAGGGACTGAATAGTTCTGTAAGTTTTCTGCTGAGCACTCTGATTTAAAGAGCTCTTCTGTTGCATATTTCAAGCAACACTTCATCTCCATCTTTAACAGTACAATGTTGTGATTCCTGACCTGAACTTTGAACGGAACACAGACCTCGTGCTCCATGCATGCCTCACATGAAAGCGGAGACAATGGTGTGCATGTGGTTTAAATGAGGCCAAATATAACTGACTGTGTTGAAGTTCACATGAGGTCATGTGGCACTGGGACCAGTGGGGTGCTCTCTGCAGCACGTCATAGCTGCTTCATGCACAGCCACATGTAGGAGCCTCAATCGTACTTTCTTTCAGCTTCTTTTCAGAAAAATCCCCCCAAAAATTGTTTCCCCCGATGACATTTTGCTTGTAGTTGGTGCCACAATTGTGCATCTTTCATACAACATTTATTAGCTTCAAGTCCAGTATGGGCGTGAAAGTCTTACAGAATGTGGAGAGACTATTTATACAATACCATCTTACAAAAGAGCACTTGAATTTAAGGCATGCTGTCATCATGAGAATCACAGTCTGCTGGTTGTACGTTTGTGTTGTAAACATGAACTGAGACATGTCACTTTGCAGGAGTCTTTTACCAAAAATGCTAAGGGATCATCCTGAAATATGTGTGGAAGGCAACTATCTTGCCTGTTTAATAGCATCACATCAGAGTTAGATGCAATATAAGCTGCTGCGGGCAGACGTTGTTATGCCACGGTGCTAATTTCAAAAACAGAGCTCAGAAATAATTTGAATCGTTTGTCACAAGCAAACTTAGTCCTCTAATCTTAATAGCCAGCAGTCTATGTAAAGATACTTTCTTGTGAGAAGATGGTTGGTTTAAAGACTGATATTGGGGAGGAAAAGTAGTAGTAAATCATATAAATCTTTAAACAGTGCACTGACAGCTGTCCTCACACCTATTATCATTATACTAATGTCCAATTTAAACCGCATCCATATTTACAACTGGCTTTTGAATGATTACTACAGGTGGGACTGTGAAACGGTGATTCATTTTACAATCAGCTTGTCTGAGTTTACATTTCTGTCATTCATTTCAGTAGTTAATCTTTCAAGATGGCTTATTCCATTCGTTTTTTCATCCAGCTCGTTGCTCTGTTGTTGGGTAATTGACTGCATACATTAAAGATATAAGATAAGACATTATACGATATTAGGTAAATGGACTGTGGCTTTCTAGTCTTTTGACCACTCAAATTGCTTTAGGCTACATGTCACATTCACCCATTCACACATTGATGGCATGCAAGGTGCCAACTCCTCTTCAGAAACAGAAACTAATACTCCTTCACAATCCCACACCAGTGGCACAGCATCAGGAGCAATTTGGAGCTGGGGATTGAACCGCCAACTTTCTTATTAGTGGACAACCCGCTCTACCTCCTAAGACACATCCATCCACAAGGTGTATTGTTTTGTCCACTGGTATGAAATACATCATAACATCAGTTCAGTAATACAGTATTTAACTTAACAAATATTTGTTGGCCACAGATGGTTGCCAATTAATACATTCACACAAATTAAATCCATTGCCCCTCATTATGGTGACATCTGTGAGACAACAAAATGACATTTAGCAGCTCCCCCTTAAAGATCCAGCACTCTGTCACATTGTGAAAACTCCAGCCCACATGCAGGCAGCAGTCTGCCGTCAGTACGAGAGCCGCAGACATGCAAGTTGTTCAGGACAGTCAGTTTGATGACTAATCCCCTTCACACCGTCCATCGCCACCCAGCACTCAGGGCAAATCCTTCACAGGAAAAGTTCTTGGTCTGTTCTGATGCAGATTGATAGTGAGTCATCTCTCAGGGGCAAGAGGACCATATCAAGACACCATAGATTTCAGCACAAGTAACATTTTTTCCCCCCAGGGCCTGTTGCCCACTTTTAAAGAAACACAACGGATAAGATCATCAGCAAACAGCACAGAAGAAAGTGTAGATCCTACAGGGCTATTCAGTTACAAATTCAGTTGGGCCAGAATTTAAAACCAGAAAATGTAGATGGGATGGGCATTTTCAGCTGCCTATTCAAAACCTTTTTTTAAAGCTTTTGTCAGTAAAGTTTGGTGTTTCTCAATGTAGTGCCTATGAATATTACATTCTTTAACTACCACATTGCACACATTGCAAAATAAGCATATTGGTTTAAACACATTGGAGATAGCGGAAAAATAATACTTGCAGTGTCAATTTCTGTTTCAGGGTTGACAGAGACATATCTTCAGCAGAACACTTGCCTATTTTGTTTGATAAGCTACTAAGTGTGGTCAGAACTTGCATGAGAGATGTGTGAAGATATGATTGGTGTTACATCCTGCCCAATCGGTACTATGTATGTGCAACTCTCCACAGAGATAAGAATTAAGCGAGATGGCTCACTCACTAGCTACTTCCATACATGTATTTTACTTATTTTGTCATACATCAGATTTACATATGGTGGGCCACTAGGAGGTTGCTTCTGGGCCAGATTGAATAAGTCGGGCAAAATGATTTTGCATCTATTGTGCAAACTTTTCCATAAAAAAACGATGTATTTGTGGAAACAGGGACTTACCTTCTTGGGGGAGGCATGTCCCATGGCAGTGTTAAACTGACACTTAAGGACCAGTGTTGATCTGGAGTCTCCAAATGCTGATACAATACATTTTACCCGTTTCTACAAGGCCACACAGGGATGGTTATGTACTGTTAGTGATTTAAGACATCTAACCTATTGTGCTATTAAATTTCTATTTCATTAGGAAAGTGGAAGGTAGCAAGCTAGGTTAACTAGCTTCTACTAGCTTCCACTACATGTTACTTATGGACTTATTTTAACACATGCTTCAATATCTCATCAGCAACAAAGATTGCTTCTTCTTGGTAATTACATTTCTGACCGCCGATCAGTGCACAAGTCAAACCAAAAACCAAAGATATATATGATGATTTCTTATTAATTGAATCTCAGTTTAAACCTCAAGCACTTTAAGACCAACTATCAAAAGGGAATACAAGTTCACTTGGAGACGGTGACAGCGTCTTGATGGTTGCATTATATCCTAGAACAGCTCCTCACCAGCTCCTAACAGGACATGTCTCCACCTTGATCCCCATGAGAATGCTCTTGCTTCTATTTTGAGTCGCTCTGCTTGACTGCGCTGCCAGTCAGTTAGAGAACAGAGCAGGCTTTCTCTCTCTCTCTCTTTAATTTAATTTTTTTTTTTCTGCTGCTGCAAGTCATTAATTTGAATGTTTTATTAGTTTGCTGTAAACACATGATCCAAAGAGAATGTTCATATTTATTTTAGTTCAGGCTTCCTAAATGTCATTTTAAACAGATTCCTAAGAGGTAATCTGATCAGGCACCTAATAATGTTGTTTCTTATATAAAGTATTACATGCAACAAATAACTTGCATTGCCTCAAGCGCTTCTTTTTCGCTCTCTTTTGCAGCATCCTGTTTGCAGATATAGTCGGTTTTACCAGCCTGGCCTCCCAGTGCACAGCCCAGGAACTGGTTAAACTGCTAAATGAGCTGTTTGGAAAGTTTGATGAGCTTGCCACGGTGAGTCTGTTTCCCTTCCTTGAACACGTCCCTCAATTACAGTCACTCTTGGCATAAAAAACTGCTAATTTTCTCTGTGTGTACACTTTGTCCAAACTTTGACTTGTGTATGTGCACTGCTTTGGCCACAGGCTGTTGGCACATGCCACTATTGTACCAGCTTAGCATGATGTCACAGTGAATACTGGAAGCCCATATGATGCTTAATATGATTATCCAGTGCTTCATTTGAGGAAGAGTTGACAGACATTTTTAATCTAGGCCAGATTTACCAGGGGCTAAACCTTGCCTCCACTTTGCTTGTGTGAATGAACTGAATGAAGGGGCTGCTGAGTTGTACTGTACTGTCCAAATCTCTCTTGGTTCGCATGTGGAAAAGATTTCAGCTCTCCCATCTGTCAATATTTCACTCTTTCACAGTGATTTCAGTGCTGAAAATCCGCTCAACTTTTGCTGTGAATTTGACCGCTGCAGTTAATCTAGTTGCTTTCAAATGTGACACTATCAGAAAATGTCTTTTAATCAAAATAGTATAGGTACAAGCTTTTAAGTCATGTTAATCGGTATTAAAGCACATTTGCAAAAAGGTATGATATTGCTCTTTCTTGAACACTTTCAGTTTGGCTGACACATACAGTATCTTTGTTTGGTGAGAAGGTTGAGCCCTTGAGCCCCTGCAGATCACCCTGCCACAGCCTTATCTACATGTAATCTGGCCTCTATTACTTACACTAGGCACATGCCCTTGTCAAATCCATTAATCCACAGGATTACAACAAACCCTTTTTTGCTTTCATAGAAGGTTTTACTTGACCGCGTTGAGAGCTTCTATTTTTAACTTGTTTGTTTACAGGCACAAAATTAGAACTGACTAAAAAGAGAGGGCCTCTCATTTGAATTGTTGCTGTCAAATAATTGTCATTGCCTTTCCAATTAATCTTGGATCAGTTGCTTTACCTGGCTCTTGCTGTTTTGTATGTCAGCTGCAGTCTGTCCTTATCCTATGGAAAGTTCCCTGAAATGCTATAGCCAAAACAAAATGATCCCATGCATTACAATGTGCACACACACACACACACACACACACACACACACACACACACACACACACACACACACACACTCTAATTTATAAGTCAAGTCATGTCAACAAGTAGACGCCCTTTAATTCAAACTTTTCCCCCTGCATTTCAAAGATGCTATTGGCTTAAATTTATACATTTACACAAATAGTTTTGCTAGAAGAAATGCTATCTTGAGCTATTTTCTTGCTGTTTTGATTTGAGCTGTCTCATTCTTTCGGTTGCAACCAACTAGATTGGTCTGATCTACGCTTGGCTGCTAGCTGGGAGCCTCGTGTTACACTGAAAGGCTGTCCCCAGTCACGAAACTTGTCATCAAATGTTCTAGCCTTGCCCTGACCCAAAGCCCCACTCATTCTGATCCACTTTGGCAGGAAGTGGCAGTGCCAGTGACTCATAGCTGTGGTCACTGTGGGCACTCAGACTCTTCTCGTTCCATACGAAGAGCGGGCGATGCCACATGGCCACTGGGCATCATCTCATAATACCATTCCAGCACCATCCCCACACCACCTGTCCACTCTTTGGACTTGTCAAGCTGCATGGGAAGTGGGCCAGGAACGCAGTGTTCTCCTAATGTGCTGTCGATGTAGTAGACCAAGTCTCTTCTCCTCTCCTCTCCTTAAGCCATAAATGAAGATAAGGCAGCAAATATGAAGCAAGCTTTATTAGAAAGCTTCCACTCCTTTTAACCTCAGGTATAACAAACTCACACCAGTTTCTGAAAGTCACACTTAAATATTCACTCTGCTTTTAGCTCGGTTTTTGGTCTCTACCAACTCCAGAGGGAAACTTGTGACCTTTTAGTTGCTAAATGCTACATTATGTTTACTAGCTAGTCGCCAACGACGTTTGGTGCGGGTCAGGAATCATACGGTGTGTTTTGGGTTAGGGTTAGGGTTAAAACAGCTGCCTGCTGCTGCTGGAACTAGTGTTGATAAGAACATTAAGAATAAACCAAAACAGGAAAGTTGCAGGCCGTATAAATAAGTCAAACCAAAACAATTAGCTAAAAGATGCTAAAAGATGCTCCACAGAGTTGAGGGGAACTGCAGATTTGGGTGATAATGCTAAAAGATGCTCCACAGAGTTGAGGGGAACTGCAGATTTGGGTGATAATCTTTTGTGGGTTTGTCAGAATGAGCGGCAGCTTTCACTTCATTTGACCCATTACTGATTAGTGCAACTTGAAGTCTCACATGCTATGTGTTGGAAGTAAATATACAATGCACAGAGGGAGAGACGGTGTGTTGTATTAGTATGGCAAGCTAATAGTCAGTAATGGATGCAATAAAGCGAAAAGCCTAGGGTCTCCAGTCAGGTTTGGATTTTAAATTTGTTTGCACCAGTAACAGATTCAGTCAGGTTGAAAACCCAGGTCAGGCTGGATGAATAACCCTGCTCCTGGAGTTTTGATCAAATGTGTGCCCTTATCGACCTTTGTTGCAAATATCGATATGGAGAGAGTAGAAAGGAGAGCAATGAACTGTTGCATGTGTAGCTATTGGTTTAAATACACATGTTGATATTTAGATCAATAGACAGCAACATCAAATTTACATTAGGCCACGTAAAAAAAAACCGTTAGTCCTCCCTTCGTTTACTGTGCCATATTAAGTAGAGGGGCAGCTTGAAAATTGAAGTTTACAGGGAACCCACTCACACTGATCAGTATTTGCTGTTTGATTCCCACCACCCACAAGAACACAAGCTGGGAGTAATTATAACTCTTCACCACCAGGCTGTGAATCTGCCGACTACCGCTGAGACCGAAGACAAGGGCCGCAAACATCTCAGGAAAGCTTTGAAACCGTATCACTTCCCAAACTTGGTCTGTGTTGAGACAGTAAAAATATAACACCAGATGGAGACACAAAGCAGGCACAAAAATTATTCCATACATGGATGAAGTGACAGAGTTTGCTGTACTGTAGAAATGATCCGTACTTGATAGGTAGTAGGATTTCTGTGTGCTAGATTGAATACAGGTAACATTAAAGATTTACATAGCTTTCACAATAATAATAGTAATATATTTTAAGGAAAGTAGACTGTAATAGATGAGGGATATTTATTTCAAATAGGAATAAGAAGGATGTAAATTAACACACCAACTGGTCTCCCCCTCACTCGATGAACACTTTCTCTCCCTGGCTGAGTTACCAACAGTCTGTCCGGCACCCGAAACAACAGTTTCTGTTGTGAGAGGGACTCTGTGATTAATTTATGGTTGTTGTGATGCTATATAACATTAATAGCTCTGGACCGGATGGGCTTTTGTGTCTGTACGCATGTGTGTGTGTGCGTGTGTGTGTCACTGCTGTTTCCATGGCAGAGTTTCACAAAGCTTTTCATTCTTGTCTCTCTTTTCTCTCCTCTTGCAACACCTCCCTGCATCACAGCTTTAAGACTCCTCCGCTCCTTGTTTCTTAGCTTCTTGATTGACATGCAGCAGCCTACTTCCCTCAACTGTGTCTTTTATGCCCTGTGGTTCTCTGCACTCTCTTCCTCTCTCATGTTTCCATTTTTAGGATGGCTCAATGATGTATCTATCTACTGCCTCTTACTTCCTCGACAAGTCAGAGTTCCCTTTTCATTCATATATATATGACTGTGAAAGCTTACAATAGCCTGCATCACATGTGCAGTGCGTAATACCGGCTGAAGTTTACGTTAAATTTAGTAAATCATTGCCATATTTGTTTCCCTGAGTCACTTTTTCCACTATTCTTTACATTATACTGTAAGTACTAAAGATTCATCTAGTGATACGGTGCAATTTCAATTGTAATCTCTTGTTTGTGAGGAAACTAGTTTTTGTAAAGATTCCCAGAACAGTGGAAGAAGTTAAACTACAAACAATCATATTTCCAAGGAAAGTGTAATTCTGCAAAAAGTTAACTTTAAAAAACTGTTTCAACTGCTGTAGATGTGATAATGTGTGCATCTGCAGGATTATGTAATGCAAAGTCTTATGCCAAGAAAAACATAACAAATACAACTGGTTAGGATGCTAATAGAAAACAGAATTATTTTTAAATTAAGCACGACTGTTCACTGCCCACACTGTGACAGCTGCCTGCCGGAAACTAAAGTCCGGGTGTAAACACAACTCAAATAACCCTGTTTGGGCTTCTCTCATAAGCAGGTGCAAGGATCACTGTCAAGTCCTGCAGTTTCCCTCTAACGCCTGTGTGTGAGAAACTGTGGACTGAAGCAAAACCCAAACCAAACAAGCCAGCTTGAGTTCTTGACGAAGGAGTAAGACAAAATGCTTCTGTTTCAAGAAAAAAAAAAAAAAAAGGTTGCCGAGATATTCTGACTTTTAGTCACTAATATGAGTCACGTACACTTCCCATAATGCATCTCAGCTTTTTTTTTTGTTAGACCCTCTCTGACAAGTAAGCGCCCGTGTCGTTTAAACGACAGAGCCCCATTATTTTTTGTAAAAAACAAAACTGTATTCTCCAAGTCCACATTTAACCCGAAAGACATCACTGTGACATGATAAAGTATTTATATTATTATAATATTAATAATAACTAGAAGTTATTTTTCAGACCTAACAAACGTACCTCCACAAGAGCCACTGTTAAACCTTTTTACACATACAATCAGTCAAGTGCCCCTTTAGATTTGTATTTAGAAATCATTTGCATATTTTTCATTTGTCATATTAGAGTAAAGTGTTACTGAATCGTTAAATTGTGAAAAGCTTGCTATTTTCATTACAACTCCTAAGCATTGCTCAACTGAATGCTGATTTCACAAGAAGGCTGTCCCCATACTGTAATTACAATGCTCACAGTGAGTGTTCTTGAGGTGTTTTTTTAATATTGTGACAGAGAAAAAACTGTCAAAGAATAAAATCACAGTTTATTATTCTCACTGTAATCCTGAATCGCAGATCAAACTGAATAGACTGATAGAAATATTTAGTATTTCAATAGTAATGGAATGTAATAGCATGTATGATTTGCTTATTTATACATTTCTCAGTGCACACCATCAGCATCACTTTAATCCCATAGACATTATTTATATAATTCTGTAAATTCTCTCCACCATTTATTTTATTAACTAATTATTTTAAGTAATTATGGTGTATGTTAGATTGTCATCATCTGCTGCATTACAATTATTCACTCCTGATTAAGATAGAAGATAGAGCCTCAGAGTGAATTCAGAGTGAGTGTGTTTGCAGTATTTCTCACACATATACTGTAGCCTATGTGTATGGTTTTTTTTATATCATTCCAAGAAATCAATGCTCCTTGTTTCCAATTTCAGTCAAAGGTTCAGAAAAACAGTGCCATCTTTATAAATAAAACAGTCTCGGAGCACTGAACATTTGTTATTTGTCATATCCGTCATGTCTGTTAAATATATCTACATAGGTTTACTTCACAGATCCCCAACACCCCCTCGCTCCAACCCAGCAGGTTGTGGTGGGAGGAGGCAGTGTTGATATATTTGTTGTTGCACATAAATTATTGTATATGAATTCAAATCAATAAGTGAGCTAGTGACAAAAAAGGAATATATCCAGACTGTGGAGCAGGGGAAATGTTGAGAGAACTCTTCTAGCACTCTTAAAGATTTTTCCCAATAGAGGTCCCTCGCAATAAATCATTTTCTGCCTATATTGATGAAATGTTGACATGAAATTATTCAACAAACCAAGGAGGACTGAAAAAATTGAATGCCTTTATATAAAATGCAAACATAAAACAGTGGGTTGCTTGTACTGTTAAGAAGTGTGTGTGTCTACAATCTACATTCTGAGACAGCCGCAAGCACACCTTCTGTCTTGTGTCCTTTCATCACCCCAAAGCTACAGGAGTGGAAACCCTAATCTTTGGTCCCATCAATAATGTGTACACAGCACTGATCTTTGTCTTTGTATGAAAGACAAAGCACGGTGTGCACTGCTCTCTCCTTTGGGGACTAGGAAATGAACTGCTGCTTCTCTCAGCTGGCTCATCCTTCCTTCATAATCATTTACTGAATGTTCCCCTTCCCTGTCTCTGCATTCCTTTTTGTCTCCTTCTCTTTGTCTTTCGGCACTGAAATGTTTGCTAATTTGCATTTCTGCAAGCATATGGGTATACTGTATGTAAGGTGCCTGGCAATACAACCATACCTGCTCTCACTGTATTCTGATCTCACTGAAAACATTACATAAAATATGCAAAACATTCATCTTAAAAACAGTATTGCTTGTGCTTCCTTTCTAATGGAAATAGTGAATAGGTGTCAAACTCTACCTGTGCCTAATACCCTGTACCCATCTTTCTTCTATGCTGATGACCACCCAGATTGCCCACAATGCTTCAGTCACATGACGTTGGTAATCCAGCTTGTGACTGAATCAGCTCCTAAGCCGTCACAGTGCAGATTAGCACAGGAAAAGTACAGAGTAGGAGACTCTGTAAGTACAAGGGCTTTCCCTGCTTCCTGTAGCTTCAACCATGCCTCACTATAGTGCCATCTGCTACTGCTCCACTGACCTGAGTTACCCCAAAGAGACCTCATTGGCTTTGTTATAATAACATAAATGTTTTTATTGTCAAATTAGCTTTAGAAGTTAATACATTAAGATCCATTTCACAGGATACCAGATTTTAAAAAAAAAGAAACTGTATTTTCAGTGTTTGATTATTGAGCCCAGTCCACTGATCATAGGTATTAAAGATAAAGTAAGACCCCAAGGAAGGAAATTAAGGAGGAAATTGCAGCAGCAACAGAAACAAATCAGGGAGGTAGGGTAAGAATAAGACACAAATATACACTGCATACAAATAACAATATATCAAATTTAGAAAGGTATATAGCTATATAGTATACAATAAATATCCAAGACCAGTAAATGTCTTTGTAAAAAGCAAAGTGACCGTCAATATAAATGAAATATAGATATACTATATTCCATAAATATTAATACATTTTGCATAATAAACATAATAAACATTGTGTTAACATAAAATTAGTAACCATAGTGTATAATTATATGTTATAGTCTTTATATAATGTCATAATGTCTAAGTACCTAATAGTTTTGATCCTCATTTGAAATCAATAATTGTTGTCTAAATATTGAAATATTCAGGACAATATTAAATCAGAAAAGAAGCAAAACATTGCATTGCTCAACAGTCTACAACGTACTGCTGCTGAGTTCTTTTTCCTCTGTACATTTGTGTCTAATAATATATTTTACATAAACAGCGCCTGTGCTTCCATGCCACTGAGCACTCAGAAAGCATGACCACGGCATGTAAAACTAACAAGCCATAGCCATCTCTCTTTTCTAAAAACTCACATGACTTACATGTTAAAAATAGAGCATCGGTCTTGTCTTGTGCCCACCAATGTGCATAATTAGGAGTCTTTGTGCTCTTCACGTGCGTGGCCAGTGATCCCATTACCTCCATGGAAACAATAAAGGGTTATGAGAAGGCGTCCACGGTAACCCGGTCTCCCTGGTAAAATGAATGTTTGTTGCTCATATTCTCTAATAATGGGTTATATTTGTGAGCTGCCTTTTTATGCCACTGCTTATTGTCCCTAAAGAGTGAGAGAGTGACTCACCTTATTTCCTAAAGTGAGACTGATCCGTTGACTTAGCGCTGCATTGTGGTGGAAACCATTTCAATGGTGGTGCAAGTTCAAAGTCTCAAGAGTTTGGATTGGATAATGAGCATGCAATCAGTCTATGTGGCGATCCTGTGACATCATCATATATATCATATATATATATATATGATATATAGGTATAATATAACCCCATTAGTTTATCTTTTCTCCAACTGTTCTGTATGTGCTTTTGTACTTTTATGAGAGAACATATCGATACCATTCACATGTCTGTTCGCTAAATAGGAAGCTACAACCCACCCTGTTTAGCTTAGCTTAGCATTAAGACTGGAATCAGGGAAAATGGCCAAGAAATACTCCAGAGCATTTCACCCCTAAGACCACAACTTTTTTTCATGGATTAAACCAACAACATAACATATTAATTAATTATTAGTGAGCTTTAGGGTTGCTGGTACATGGATTTATTTCCAGTCTTTGTGCTAGATTAAGCAAACCGGTTGCTGGTTGTTTCTTCATATTTAACAAACAGATACAGGATGTGTTGTGATCTAACTCTTGGCGAGGTGAATGAGTGTATTTCCCACTATTCTTTCCTTAATGGTGTTCTTGTCGTTTTGGTGTTTCTCTGCAGACAGCAAACTATTGAAAAATGTTGTGAAAATGCCAGTGTGGACCAGATCCCATTTCACATAGCCTAACACATAAAGAGGGACAGTTGTGTTTATTGGAACAATTAGCTAAACCAGAGGCATTGCTGCACTGAGTTGATTTTTTTTCTATGAAGCTTTTAGCTCCATGACACCTTGACACCCTTTTTGACTAATTTCAATCATTCTCAAAATACCATTGGGCTAATTCTGACAAAACTAGGATGGAAAAAAAGTGTTACCTGTATTATCCTGATTATTGTAGTACAAAATAACTATCCAGGAATGTGCCACCAGAGTTAAACTATCATTATACATATCCAACTTGGCTTATAAGAACTTTAATTAATTGTAAAGCTTTTAACAAAGCATTTTTCTTACATCACCAGTGTAATTTGCCTAAAATGTTGAGGGATGATACAGTGTTATGATGAGGATGTTGCAGGTAAAATCTTCTAATGTTGAAAGGCCATAACTCCTGCAAAATAAATTCAGTCGAACTTGCAGCAATGGGTAGCTTGAAGCAATACTTACAAATCACACTGATGGATATGGATCAGTGTAATGGGTAAACTCTAATTAAATGTCAGAATTTTTAACTGAAACACCACTAGTGCAACTTTGATTTAACTGAAAGAATGATGCCTTGTGGTACTCTGTTATTATGTTTTCTAACACTAACTCAGCTGACCATGATGATTAAAGGTTAATTTTTGATCCTATGAAAGACTATAGTGCTATAGCACTGCTTGTTTTGGATGAGACTCAGAAGTAAAAAATATTTTGTTGCTGATTGGCTTGTATCCTTCTTGAAGAAATACGTGGAATCACAATTTCACTCTTTTCTGATTGGCAGGAGAACCACTGTCGCAGGATTAAGATCCTGGGGGATTGTTACTACTGTGTGTCTGGACTGACCCAACCCAAGACTGACCATGCCCACTGCTGTGTAGAAATGGGTCTGGACATGATTGATACCATAACGTGAGTGTTCATATTTGTTGAGTGTTTCATTTAGCTGTACGACTTTTACACTACTCTATTCATCTTTATTTTATTCGAAACACACTGATTAACTGAGTCCGCGTTGAGAGATTTCCTTCAAGTAAGCCAAACTGCAGCCTGATCAGCCATGTGTGCTGTGAGTGAATTCTAACACTGAACATTTGAGCGAGCAGATCCACAGTTGGCTGAGAGAAAAGGCTTTACTGGAGAAAGAAAATTAGCTATTTTATTGAGCTTGAAGGAGCTTGTTTTGCCTACATACCCTGCATAGTTTGGGAGTGGGGAAAAAGGAAAAGAAAGTGAGAGATTGAGATGCAGCAGAAGATTAAACCAGCCTGTTAATTAAGATTAGACTTTTTCCTCAACACTGATAGATAGAAATGCTCAACTTTGCAGTCTTTTTGTTCTGTAGTCTATTTTGGTATGTTAGAGCTAGGGAGAGAATTTTTGAACAGTGTTTGTTCCCTGTCCACTTCCTGACAGATTGCCATATCTGCAGCATTTTTAACGAATGCTTGTAGTTACAGATATTATATTATTCTGAATTAAGGATCTGACCTCAGTCATTATACATAACGATTGCTTTTAAAAGTAAATGTTCTTAGGTTATAGCAACAACAATATTTAAAGTAACACTGATGATTTTCTTTAAGATTTGTGCCTAAACATACAATGATAAGAGCAGGGGTCTTATTTATGGATCAAAACATATGAGGTTGAATCGCCGGCTGTCACTTTATGAAAGGCAACGTTTTCATTCATTTGTTTGACTATTAGTCTCAATCATTGTACAGTGCCCAGTAATCCATGTGTTCTGCCCCTGCAGGTCAGTAGCGGAGGCCACAGAGGTCAACCTAAACATGCGCGTAGGCTTGCATACAGGTCGGGTGCTGTGTGGAGTGCTGGGCCTCAGGAAATGGCAATATGATGTGTGGTCCAATGATGTGACCCTAGCCAATGTGATGGAGGCTGGAGGACTACCTGGGTCAGTATTGGACATTTTACATGAATACCAGCCTCTACAGCTATGGACACCAGTTTTCTTTGTCAGTTCTGTTGTGGTACTCTGGATACATTTTGTGACAGATAATGTTATCTGGAATTGCCTCTTGAAAAAATCTTATTCTATAGTGAGGTGTGAATATTTCTTATCTTATTGTCATTGCCTTTAAAATACTGGTAATTGTTTTAAGACATGTCAAGAAAAAAAGGCAAACTGCAGAGGTGAACTAACCTCAACCATATAGTTTTTTTTTTTCCTGTTTACATAAAATAGAATTCAAATACTTGAGCAAAGACAAAATGACCTTTTTGTAGCATTTTAAGGTAAGTCATTTTTTTCAGTTTCGCAAAATGCCTACAGGAGCAGGACGTCAGACCTTGTTTTAACCGTCTCCGGTAACACTCTTCGGCTGACGACCTGCTCAGAACTGTTTGTGCCAAATGCACCTAATTACTGCAGCTGCAGTGGCTATGAGATCTGTCCCTGTGTTCCACAGTAAAGTCCACATCACCAGATCTACGCTGGAGTGCCTAAATGGAGATTATGAGGTGGAGCCTGGAAACGGACACGAAAGGAACGCCTTCCTCCAAAAACATGAAATTGAAACCTTCTTTATTGTGCCATCTCACCGACGGAAGGTATCGTATTGTAATTCTGTGCTGAGGAATGTATTGTCAATGTACCTTGTCTTTCTATGAGCCTTTAGAAGTGGAAAATGATTAAGATGACAACGTCAGTTGCATCTTCAGATTACACTATCAGACGTTGGCCTTAGCTGAACCCTGCATTACCGTGTACTGTACACATTAGCAAAGCTTCTGCAGGTCATATGCTAATCCATATTAACCTGAACTACTGTTCGTGGTACGTCAGAATAGGATAGGTTGAAAAAGCAGGCTTATCTTGACCATCTATGCCAAGATCTACAATAAAAGCTTCCTTCAAATAGCAAAAACGTTGACTAAAGCATCCAGCATCATATGATAGAGCTCTCACACATTTGTTGTTGAGCTGATCTCACTTCCAGCCTGTAATGGATTGGACTGGGGCTATAAAGAACAAGAAAACAGCCAGTAGCATCTATCATCTCAAATCTGCACAGTCCGACAAATTTAAAGAGATATGTGTGTATGTGTGTGTGTTTGCGTGTGTGTGTGTGTGTGTGTGTGTGTGTGTGTGTGTGTGTGTGTGTGTGTGTGTGTGTGTGTGTGTGTGTGTGTGTGTCAGTGCATACACATTAACACACACCTCCAACAGATGTGCCACAAGCAGCTGGAGAGGGAATTTTAGTCCTGTCTCTGTATTACTCCATCAGGCCTCCTCTCTCCTCCCTTCTACCTCTCCTCCCCTCTTCCTCTCCCTTTCCTCATTATTTGTTGCACCAGGTTTTATATAATGCAAGATAAGGCTTGCACATAGGTTACATTGGTCCGTATGTGAACCTGTAACATCCCAGTTGCGTGTTTTTTTCTTTGATAAGCGGGAGACTCTGCTAATCCTCTTAATAGAGCTGATGGTTAGACTTCATCAAAGACATGGCTCAGAGAAAGATGTGCCCTGACTAAGCTGTGTTGTATAGGCTTCTCTTCATTTTTCTATTGTGCCTTTTACTACTGCTGTTTAGGGGCACACTTCCAACTTTGTGTATGGAACAAAGCATATATTTCTTACTGCAAATGACACTCAGACACCTTCTCAAACTCTTTAATGTGTGCTTAATCTTTACCACTCTTTCTAAAATAGCTTTATGAAAGAGACACAAGGGCAGCAAAGTCCTAAAACTATTAAAATCACCAAAGGGATTGACATTATTTTAACCTCTTTCTAGTTAAATTCCTGAGCCTGATAATAATGACTGCATGCATGTGTGTGCATGAGCATGTGTGCACGTGCATACTGTCCACTGCCTGTGCATGATTTATAGACCCTTAAATAATATATATTACTGTTTGGGGTATCATAACTAAATCCTTGTTCCCGTTTCTTATCTGGTGACAGATATTCCCAGGATTGATTCTTTCGGATATAAAGCCCGCCAAAAAGATGAAGTTCAAAACTGTGTGCTACTTACTAGTGCAGCTTATGCACTGCAGGAAGATGTTCAAGGCTGAGATTCCGTTCTCCAATGTCATGAACTGCGAGGACGGTGATAAGGTATAAACTCTCAGTGTCTGTGTTGACGTTTCTGTGTTTGTTCGTGCTGTGATTTACATAAATAGACAAAAAGATACACAGTCTGAATGTCTAGAGTTTTCTCCAATAGTGAAAAATTTAATGTTCTAACGCTTGTTTGAATTACCTGGATTTCTAAATGCCCCTAAATGTGGTCTGATCTCTTTATTTAAACCACAACCCGAACCTTCATTGTCTTTATTAATGATATTGTTTAAGCATTACAGTATAAGTTAACACTACTTTAGTAACAATGTATTTCAGACAAATGTTTTTTGTAGAACTGTATAGCAAAGAAGAAGCATTTTAAACTTATTTTTGGGTGTCTTGTAAAAAAAAGACCCTTCAGGTCATGCCTCAGCATTTCCATGTGCTTAACGTCAAGGCTTGGCTGATCCACAATGCAAATTTGTATAGGCTTGAGACATGAATTGTTGATCATCCAAGGGGTCTTTGGCAAACATTAGAGGAGCAACAATGTGTGTTTGTGGATTCCTTCATGGCTTAGTGGTTTTCTTGATGTGAATTCTTGGACATACAGCAGAGGCCTGTGCAAGAGATGCTCCAGTATCCGTAGCTGTTACACAAATGTTCTTTGTCACCTCATTGAACACCGTACATTGTACTCTTGCAGTGATTTTTTTTTTCAGCACAGTCAGTCTAAAGTCCAATAGTGCTGTTTGATGATACTCAAGAAGTCATGTCATAACTTTTCCAGGCATGTTTACCTTCTACAGATCTCTGTTGTAGACTCTGAATTAGACCTGGAACAATTAATCAATTGGTCTATATACGGTAAATGAATCATTCACAATAATTAATTATTTCTGTCATTTTTTTTAGCAAACATGCCAAACAGTCATTGGTTCCACCCTCTCAATTGCGATCATTTTCTATTTTTTGTCTTGTGTGTCTTGTATATTTTTGGGCTTTGGACTGTCAGTTGGACTGTCAGACGCACCCTGGGCATTAGGGAATTGTGGTGGTCACTATTTTTTTTTGACATTTTATAGATCAAATGATTAATCAAGAAAATAATTGGCAGATTAATCAGTATTGAAAAAAATCATTAGTTGCAGCCCTACTCTGAATCATAGACTATCAGACAATTAATTCTGTTCTTTGACATTGAGGTGTTTTTTTATCAAGCAGGACATTTCCACCCACACCAACTGGCTGGAAATCATGACACCCAATATTCACCAAAGTCACTATCCTTAAAGCTCACATATTTTTCCATGTTTACACACAATGTTTAAAGGGTTTTTTTTGTTACATAAGACTGTTTATCTATGTGCCATGGATTAGTTAAATTAGCAATCCACAGTTTAAAAATTAATTCTGGATTCCAGGTCATTTAAAAGGCTTAACAAACTTGTCCTTGCAACTGTACATCTTAGTCAGTAAATAAATACATGGCTTTCACAGGATGTATACTTTATTGTAAGAAGATAGGGAGTGATGGTAAGTGATGATCCTGTCAGCTATAATGACCTCAGCATGTTGCTCCTGCCAGAGACCGACATACCATTTCCCCCGCATATACTGTCAGTGACAGTGGCAATCTGGCCAAATGTCAAAGAGCTTACTTGACCTTGTGTGCCTGAAGAGAAATCCTGTGGCCTGGCAGCTGTACAATTCTTGCACCAGCTGTTTTAATCCAGATTTTCAGGTGTGTCTGTGTGTGCGGGTGTGCAATGTATTTTTCTTCTGAAGGGGACAAGTTAAGCTAATCACACCATCATGTGATCATCCCTATCATACCTAATGGGGATGATCACACCATCATCCCCAGAAGGTTAAAGATTTACTTTAGGGTTAAGACTAAGATATGGGTTGATAAGGCATGTAGCAGTTATCCAATCCAATCCAACTTTATTTGTTAAGCACTTTTAAAAACTTTTAAAATCTTATGGGTACAGCAAGTGTTTAGAGAATCAATTTATGTCAAAACAATGTTATTTGCAAGATTTTTAAATATTTAGTATGAATGTTTGACTAATCATCATCTTCCCACTTTTAGGTTGCCCTCAGTGGTTGCGTCCAATAGATCTCTACCTCACACTACATGATAGTGTCCCCTTTTAAATGTACATTACCAGTAATGACCACATCCTCACATTGTAGGCAGAAGTCAGATTAGAATAAAACAGTCATCCGAAAAGAGAAAAGTGGTGACAGGTTAAGCCATACATGCACCTTCTACTACTGAATGGTTATTTCACATTCAGACCACATACACACTTGAATTGTGTGAAAGGACATATGCATTCAAGGCACGAAGAGGAGCGATATGAGGGAAAAGGGATGAATGAATAGGATTTTTGGTGCAGCAGACGTGGCTGCATGATGTGTCCTGTGCTACGTTGAGCACAATATGGGACATAAGGAGAAGTCAACATCTGCAGGTCACTGTGTTGGTGCCTCATAAATAACACAAAACGAGAGTGTGAGGGAGGCAAAGATAAATAAGGGATAGAAAAGGGAAGGAGAGTGAAAGAAGAGAGACTAGATGGAAGGAGGGAAGACTAAACAGAAACAGGACATGAAGAAGCAAGTAAGGATGGGGAGAAGGGAGCAGGTGAGAAAAGAAGGAAGCACGGAAGAATAGACAAAAACAGGAAGGATGGTAGAATACACAGAAGCAGGGAAGGAAAGAAGGGAGTGTGGAAGAATATAGAGAACCAGGGGGGGAAGGATGGAACTGAGGAAGAACAGAAGGAAACAATGAATTAAGTAAAGAAGAGTATACAGAAGCAAGATAGGAAAGAAGGAAGAATATGAGGAAGCAGGCAAGGAAAGACTGAAGTAGGGAAGATAATATGGAAGCGGGAAGGGAGGACGGAAATAGGGAAGAATATGTACAAGCAAGAAAGAAAAGAAGGAAGTAAGGAAGAATATACGAGAATATAAGGAAGTGGGAAAGGAACAGTGGCTGTAGGCAAGAAATTACAGAGGTGGGGAAGGACAGACGGAAGTAGAGGGGAATATATGGAAACAGTGAAGGGAAGAAACAAGTAAGGAAGAATATGGAAGCAGCAAAGGAAAGACGGAAGTCAGGATGACTATACAGAAGCATGGAGAGAAAGAAGGGATGTAGAACAGAAAGAAAAAAGGAGGAAATCAAGGAAGTCAGTGAGCTGTACACATTCATGTGTAATGAAGTCATGAACACTCTTGCTCAGCCTTTGCTCCCCTACTGTGCCACCGAGCTACACAATTCATCCAGCATGCTCACTTATATTTACACACACACACACACACACACACACACACACACACACACACACACACACACACACACACACATATACACACACACAAACATCCACTCTGCCATGTTAACTCTCTGGCTTTGCTCCAATGCCCAATGTTTTGCAAAGCTGCTCACTTTGGCTGCCGAAGACACTCAGACACAGCGGGGTGCATTCAGTAATGAAGTTAAGTGTGAAGGCAATGTCCTAATTTAAAAGTATAATCAGCTGCCCGTTTTTATTGTTGACTCTTATTCACCCTTGTTCATAATATGATAATACTCCGCTAGTGCAGAGAGTACAGGGCGCTGCATTGCAGCCAATTTATCACACTATTGTTTTTCATGTCCTACGTTTTCAGTCAAGATTTCTTTTTTTATCCCACCAGCGGAGGGCCATGCGGACGGCTCCACAGAAGCTGAGGAATCGTTCCAACACAAACCAGGCTAATCTGATCCAGAGCAGCCCCAGAACCCGGGTCAACCGCTACATCGGTCGCCTGATCGAGGCCCGCCAGACTGAGTCAGACACGGCGGACCTCAACTTCCTCACACTCATGTATAAGTGCTCTGAGCGCGAGCAGAGGGTGAGGGACTTCAGACACGGCAGACACATACTGTAGCTGTGCAGTGAGATGTTGTAGGTGAAGCCTCTGAGTGAGTGCTGTGATGTTTTGTTACTCATTCCTATCTGGTCTCATTACATAGTACCACCAGCTTCCTGATGAGTACTTCACCAGCGCAGTGGTCCTCTCTCTGATCCTAGCTGCCTTGTTTGGCCTTGTCTATCTTCTCATCATACCACAGTATGTACAGCACATTCTGTTGTTGTCCCCTCTTCTCTCTAAAGCCTTTTTCCACTTATCTATTTAATTGACTTTTTCAAGTCTTTTTAACTAACCCCACTATCTTCCTCTCTCCCTTTTTTTCACTCAGGGGCACAGTGGTACTAGTCCTTCTCGTCTTCTGCATCTGTTTCCTAGTAGCTTGTATCATGTACCTGCATATCACTAGAGTACAGGTAAATACGGCTGCCTTTTCGTATCCTTATCCTACCTGAGTCAAAGTCTTCTTTTCCTCATTCACTTTTTTACTCAATCTTTTGCTACTAATAGATCAGCCCTCTCTGATCTGGAGCCTAATAGAGCCGGCAAATTTAACTTTCTTTATTTTAAGGTTTTTTCTGCTATGATTCTTCAGGGGTTTTTGCTGACTAAAGAGAAAATGTAAATGTATTTTATAAAGCCTTGTAATAACGGTTCAGTATTCATTGGCTTCAAGATTACTTTCTAAGCCCCTATGCTGCATTTAAAGCTTTTTTTTGAGGTTGATGGTCGTCCTCAAAGCTCCTGACCACATCAGTTTTTTACACTTAGTGGATTTTATAGGTTAATTTTCTCCCTCTGTTTCTCTTTCTCTTCTTACTCGCCTTACTTACCTCATGCTATCCGAACCTCTGTCTACACAGCAGTTTGATTTCAAGTGTTTTTTCCTGATACTGTTCCAGCAACTAACCCCCATTATTTTACTGTAATCTTGGCATGTATAAACACATAGTATTATGTATGCACAATATGAAGATGTTTTTTATTATTATTTATCATATCATATAATCTGACTCTTTGTTTTTGACCCTCAGTGTTTTCCAGGGTGCCTGACCATTCAGATTCGCACTGCTCTCTGTATTCTCATAGTGCTCTTAATCTACGCTGTGGCCCAGGCCTGCGTGGTAAGTGGAAAAGGCAACAGTAAAATGACCCACCTTCCATCCAACCAGTAAGAAATAATTTTTGAATGTTTTGAGCTGTAATTGCAGTAAATTAGGAAACCAAAACAGCTAAAATGATATCTACAAATGTCAACATTTGTCATTTACTATTTCATATTCTTACAACACAGAAAGTTTGCACTATAGTCCATCCCTAATGTATTTGTAATGGACATAATATATCTTACAATCTATGGTATACAATGCTGTTCAACTGGGAAAAGTGCAAATTGTGACAGTAGGCTACGATTGAACTATTTTCTACTTCATGTTCATGTATCTTCCTCTTTGCCTCTGTCAGGTGGGCTGTATGCCCTGGTTGTGGAGTAGTGCCAACACCAACAGCTCCATCGTCATCATTGATGTGGACAGCGGCGCCAACCACACCATGGCTGAGCTGCCTTGTGATGGCGCCCGTTACGCCTTTCTGTCCTGTGTGGTGGGCACCCTCACCCTGGCACTTTTCCTGCGGGTCTCCTGGCTGCCAAAGATGGCGCTAATGCTCCTTCTGGGGGTGTTGTATGTGACTGTGTTGGAGCTCAGCGGCTTTCGCAAGACTGCAGGGTGAGGCTCACAGCACAACATGACCACAAACACCACACGCGCGCACACAATCATGCAAAACACTTGAGCTTGTTTGCACTTTTTATTTCTGTCATTTCCTGAAGTTACATGACAACAACACACACATCCTATCAGAGCTTAAAGTGAGAGCCCCCTGATCTACTTACGATTGTGCGTCATTCGAGCATCAGGGGCAAAGATTGGGTTTTGTGTTTGTTCGTTCTGAAGAAAAGAGGAACAGATAACCAGGAGTTTAGAAGAACATTTACAGTACATGTGCTGCGATGTATGCGTGTGGAGGAGTTTTTGCTTGTCTGCAGCCCACCAACTCTTTCATTTACCACCCTTTGATGCAGCACATGTGCTCATTAGTTCCAAATCAGAAGCCTGAAAGGACAATGTGGGCTGGATGATAGGAGCGTGTTAGCTGTTTCAACCCAGTACCAAGAGGCCCAGCCAATTTTATTGGAGCTCAGATCATAAATGTGCCCCTGAAAAGTGATTATGTTGAATTTGTCCAGCTTATTAAGATAAAGATCTCTTTTGAAAAACTAATTTTGTTTAAATACAGTCATGCTTCAGTAAATAATAATAATATCGTATGGTCCGAACTTTTAAGCACATTAAGTTCTTTCATTTAAACATTTCTTTAATTTAATATTTTGTTTTGATGTGCTCTTTAAAAAAAAAATCCTTGTTTTCATTATTTCTTTAGCAAAACTTTATTCATGATTGCGCTCCACACTGTGGGGGGTCCATTCAACCCTCATGTGTAGTTTTCTGTGTGGTCCAGTCCAGTGCTGACTTGTGTGTTGGTCTCTTCCACAGTGGGGGGTCCTTCCACATCCGGGGCTATGAGCCCATCCTGTCTCTGTTGCTCTTTGTCAGTGCCCTGGCCCTCCACTCCCGGCAACTTGACCTCAAACTACGCTTGGACTTCCTATGGGCTGTGCAGGTTAGTAAGTGTGTGTGTCAGTGAGTCCGTGCATGTGAAAGAAGCTTTGGATGCTGAGAGGCTTAAATCTCATTATCATAACACAAGTTTGAATAGAAGTGTACTTTAGAAGTGCTGCCATTTCAACTTTGATATATGTAAACTATTGGGTTATGTATGGAAGATTTGTATTTATAGGCTGCCAGCTGTCCGTTCTTTGGCCAAAACGAGGGTAAGAAGCTTGTTTTGGCTTGGTTCCATTGGTGCTAGGACTGTAAAAAAAAAAAAAAAAAAGGACTATTGTGCATAGTTGGACTAAAGTGTTGAAGCAGAATTTTAAGCTATTTAATACTTTAACTAGCAGCATTAGTCGTGTAATGTATCCAAGTCTATTAAAACTATGAGACATAAAGACCATGTTCTATGGCTCTTAAGGTTTATTACTGACCCCATGTGGTGAAAATGTGGGACAAGCTATAGTCCTCATTGCTGCATCTGTATATTTTGTCTGTGCTACTTTTGCTGACAGGCGGAAGAGGAGAGGGATGGCATGGAGAAAGTCAAGCTGGACAACAGGAGGATTCTCTTCAATCTTCTACCTGCACACGTGGCTCAACACTTCCTAATGTCGAACCCCAGGAATATGGTGAGCCTCGCTAATAGACAGGCAGACAGACAGACAGACAAACAGGTAGATCAACAGACAAGAAGACAAAAGAAAGATGAACATTACAAGATTTGTTTATGTTTTATACTTTTATACTGTGTTCTTTCTTTTTCCATTAGGATCTATACTATCAGTCCTACGCACAAGTTGGTGTCCTGTTTGCCTCAATCCCAAACTTCAATGATTTCTACATCGAGCTGGATGGCAACAACATGGGAGTGGAATGCCTGAGACTGCTGAATGAGATCATCGCCGACTTTGACGAGGTGGGGCCGACGATTTTAATTCTGGACTATGAACATAGACCTCTGGGAGATTTTAACTGTTGCATTATGTGTTTTTTCGAATGTATGTTTTTGCAGCTCATGGATAAGGAGTGCTACAAAGACATAGAGAAAATCAAAACCATTGGCAGTACATACATGGCAGCTGTGGGCCTCGTCCCCACCATTGGTACCAAGGTGGCATGTCATTTTGTGTTTCTGTGTGTGTGTGTGTGCTTCTGTTTGCACGTGTATAAATGGGTGTAGTCCATCATAATGAAGACAATATGAAGGATCATTTCATGCATATATACTAACTATTTGGTGTACTTCCCCTCTTTAGGCCAAAAAATCTGTTTACGACCATCTGAGCACAATAGCAGACTATGCCATTGAGATGTTTGACGTTTTGGATGAAATCAACTATCAGTCATACAATGAGTTTGTCTTGAGAGTGGGTACGTCCACCTCTGTATTAAACTCAGAGTAAATCACAATGTGACAATGTGAAAAACCTGTTTTGTATTTGTTTAACATTGTCTTTTGTTTGCGCAGGTATCAATGTGGGTCCAGTGGTTGCAGGGGTGATTGGGGCACGGCGACCTCAGTATGATATCTGGGGGAACACAGTCAACGTGGCAAGCAGGATGGACAGCACTGGAGTACCGGGGAAGATACAGGTATCCAACACACCCTAAATGACAGTATTTATCTAAAAGTAATTTTATTATAATGGGAGTTTGGTTGAAAGACAATGCTTATGTGGAAAACAGAATAAAGGCATCAAAACTACAGTTGTAAAGGTGAAATTCATATATCATAAAAACTAGTAAAAAAAAGATGACCACCAAAATCAGGAGATAGGATCAGTATCAAGATAAAAATGCAATTAAAGGCATAAAATATTGCATAATTTATAATAATGTGGCATCCGGTAAGCATTGGCTCAAAGTAACTTCTATAGAAGTGGAAGGACCTCAGAAGTTATTTCAGTTAGTTGAGCATTGCTCACACCAGTAACTCCAAAGTGCATTGGCATAAATAGAGGCACTGCAGCTGAATTTCCTATTTACTGTATCTATTTATTGCTGTGTACCAGATGTGGGCAGCTGGAACAACTGGGGAAATCAAGACCTCAAGCTTGATGTATTTTGATGCAATTAACCATGTGAATGGTTTCATTCTGAAGTATAATGTCTATATGTAAAAGATTAATGTCATTATTTCTAAATTCCATAACAATATTTTGACATTAAACATAGTTTGAGGCACAGCAGCAAAACTATTTCACTACAGACATGTAAATTGTATTAAATAAATATACACATTGTTTTATTTTGATAATAAATTGAACTCGTATGTTGAACACACGTATGTTTCCTTGTTTTTATGATACAGGTGACCGAAGAGGTGTATCGCCTGCTGAATACCAACTATGACCTGGTGTGCCGCGGCAAAGTCAGTGTCAAGGGTAAAGGTGAGATGCTGACCTACTTCCTGGAAGGGAAAGTTCAGGGTGTGGGCACTGTGACCACTTCTTCGGTGATGCGTTCCGCCAGCCTGGCGCGCCGGATCCACTCCTGTGGCAAGACGAGTGTGCCGACCAATCTGGGAAGTGTCTCCTCCGCCGCCAGCCTGACTGCTTTTGCCAGCATGGGCAGCAACATGCAGATGAACACCGCCAACAGCAGCAACAACCAAGCAACATGCCTGCCCTCTCCCTGCGTGCCCGCAGTGGGCGAGGAGGACGAGGAGGACTTAGATGTGACGGAGATTAAGATCGAGGGTGTGGCAGCTGTTGCAGACGCAGCGGTGTAGAAAGAAAGACAAGACTGGAAAGTTCAACTTCAATTAAAAAAGGAAAGAAAACCCTGGTTGGAGGCCTAAGGAAGACAGGGCTGTCCAGGTATTTCCTATAAAATCTTGAGCTACTGGCACAACCCAGAATATGCTCAATCAGGAGACGAACATACAGAGAAATGACACATGGTGACAAGGACAATCACACTCGATTTAGGGATTTTTCCTGCTTGCCACTCCTGGAAGACAAATGTGGAATAAAGAAGAGAGAAACCCATGATCTGAAATCCTCTTTTAACATGTCTATACCAGATGATTAGATTTGTGGTGTCCCTGGGTTCCCTCAGATCCAGATATAATGTGCATCTTTGTTTTATATATAGTACATATTCCATGTACAAGGGATATGTGCATTGTTATCCAGAAAAAGACTGATCATGCTATTGCTTTTGCACTGTCTTTCTGATTATGCCAAGGATACATTGCATTATTTACAGTGTAAAATGGTGTTGTTTCTTTTCGGTGTATGTAAGCATGCATGTGTGTACTTGTGGGTGTGTGTATGCATGTGTGGTTAATTCTGAATTGTAACGAAACAGCACAAAATACTTTTTTATACTCGGAGCTCACAGGAGGAAATTGGCTTTTTTTTAGACATATTTACAGTTGATAGTGCATGACTTTTTAAGAGTTGATAGCCATAGTAACGGTACTCCTGTTGAAAGAAAACCAAAGTATTGAGCTTTCCATAGATCTTTAGTTTTACTGCTTATATTGCCTCACCACACAAGAGAGAAGAGAAAATGTTGCAGTAGGTTGAACATACTTGGCATATGGGAGCCACATCATCGGTAGACTTAAAAAGTGTCTTTTTGAACCCCCAGAGAGACAAAATAAGGGTTCCTGAATACCTTCTTACATGTGTACGATCAACATCACATGAAGAACCAATACACCCACATGTATGGTTCAAACATACATGTAGGCATCCATTAAGGCATTCTTCCGCACAGAAGACAGCACATACATTACTTAAGCACATACAATAAGCAGACAACCTTTAGCCTAAGCCTTTCAAATTCTCCATGTACATTGACACATTTTCTCAAGGCCACAGAAACTTTGGTGCAGTGTCTGGCTACTGTCGTCTATCAGGCATACGTTGCTATACTCCAGCTTCTTTTTGCTATATATTTAAGCTACATTATGAGTTTTTCCTCAAAATGAGTTGTCCTCATAATGTATGAGCTTTAGCACGTCTTTCAGATGCAGTCTCAGACATGTGAGGCGCTTAAGATATCTTTATAGCCTATATCTTTATCATCATAGAACGTTCACTTGATCTGCAAAAGTGTAAATACATCTTGTTTCAAGTTTTTGCCTTACTCAAGCTTACAGTGATTGCAACCTGCCTTTTTAGATATATTCACTTTGATATGCAGATCATACTTTTTGTAAATAGCCAAAAGCTGTAAACTATGTTGTATCTTGTACAGTGTAAAGTTGGGTTATTGAATATTTTGTAATAAAGACGATATTGGTGTATAAAATATTAAATGAGTATGGCCATGAATGTCAGTAGATACAGAAAAATGTTTGGCTACTGAGATGTAAAACAAGTAGGTGTTTGGGATTGTGGTTAAGGGTGTAAATGAGGATCTTTTTGTTGATTTTTAGGTATGAGCCATATGAGGATTTTCAATCTGAAACACAATATTTACACTTTGTCCCCCAAACCTCAAGCCTAGCATGCAGCACAGCAAACGATCAGCGGGTAACAAATATAACTTTTTATGGGCAGTTTTCCCTGTTAGTTCCACTCTATAAAATTTCATTTCTCACACCTTAGTTTATGGCTCTTAAAATAACAGCTTTCACTCTACACAGCAAAATATGGTAGACAATGACAGGTTTATTATGCCAATCGGTGTCCTTCCACAGCCCACAGCCAGATGAATGTCACTATGTCCAAATGCTGAGCGGGCGCCAAAATTGTTTTCCCTGCACTGATGTAGAATTTCTCTGGGGTTCACTCAGTGTAACAGTTAAGTCAACAAATGCCTGGCTTGCTCCACCACTTTCAGCCTTGGAATTATTTTTTGCTTTGGAATAAAATACAGCAAATAATAATAATAATAATAATAATAATAATAATAATAATAATAATAATAATAATAATAATAATTTGAGATTAATTTGAATGTTGATATATCTTCAAGGAGTTCTTACTTGACAGAAAAAAGCTTTTTAAAATGGGGCTGGTGTTGTCATCACTGTCATGGTAAAGTTCCATGACTCCAACCTAAAGTTGACATTAAGCAAGGAAGGGAATCCAAGGTAAATGATGGTTCACAAACAACCCTCCCCTTACTGTCATCAGGGCTAAAGAGGGTCAATATGAGTGAATTAGGTCGTGGCAAACAAGAATACTATACATTTTTGATAATAATTTATTTTATGGATCTGTCATTTAATTACTTCCAACTCCTTGAAAGAAATATGTTATTTGTAATTAATTTTAGGGACAGTGTTAGTTGTGTTAAGTTTCTAAGCAGTTGTTGATCTCCAGATGAATTTCTCTGAAGGAATTGCTGAATTTTTATCCATGTAAATATTCGTTCATCAGTCACTTATTAGCAGAAAGTTTTCAGGTAAACTAACAAAAGTGATATTTATATATTCAGTGTTTTTCACCATTGTGTTTATCCTTAAGGTCTAACAAATGGAAATGGAATGCATTTCCAGCCTCATAAGACCATTTTTGATCTTTTAATAATACATCCATATTTGTGAGCTTGCAGTCTGCTTCTTCACTTCTTTTATTGGCATGTTCCTACACTTCCATGCATGTGCCTGCCACAAACTGTCAATCAATGAGATAGTGTGAAAGTTTCAGCAAGATACAAACAAATTGGGGACCCACAAAGCATCGTTCCATAGCACTGCTCTTAGTCAAAAACTTCATAGAGTACCTTTAAAGGACCAGTGTGTTGGATTTAGTGGTATCTAGTGGTGAAGTTGTAGATTGCAACTAACTGAATTTGATGACCTGGGAATGACAATGGTCTGTGAAGTGTGTAAGAGAAACTACGGTGGCCGTGAAAGTCTGAAAAAATGCAAAAGGCCCTATCTAGAGCCAGTGTTTGGTTTGTCGCTGCTGGGCTACATGGCGGTTCAACAAGGTCGAATCAGTGGACGGCGAGATAAAAACGGCTCATTCTAAAGGTAATGAAAACACTTCCTATATTCAGGTGATTATACTCTAATGAAAACATACCTATTATTATTATATTTCATTCCTGCCAATAGATCCTCCTAAATTGTACACACTGGTCCTTTAATTCTCATACACGTTGAATTGTTTGCCAGAGAAACTGCTGTGCATTGATTCTCTTAAAGACTCCCTGGGTTACTCTAGTAAACTGAAGTGAATTTACCAGCATTGGAAGTGTACCAAAAAAACACTGTCACTTTTTTTTCCATAATTAGTACCAGATTTCATAGTTATTATTAAATGAGAAAAAAATCAAAGCAGCTGAGGTCTTTGTAGCCTAAACGTTTCTAGAATGAATCAAGCTCCAAAAACTCTAGATGACATTATACAACTGAGCACTTCTACTACTGACAAGTAACTTCATGTCTAAAATTGGTGGTGTCCCTTCACAAGTTTTAAATATAAAAAAATTCAAATAGGTATATTACAACACACTAATCCGATTTTATAGAACCACTGGCTCATGTTACATTGCTTTGTTTTTTAACCTCATGTATCAGAAAGTCTCCACCTGTCATCTGTCTGTCGTTAAGCCTCCGCACCTGATTTGAATAATCAGCTAATGGAAATGTGAAACTGAAGGATCTTTATGCTGTATACCAGGTCTACCAGCTAAATGGACATGCAGCAGCAAAGTGTAAGTTTTCATCTTTTTTTGCTATTTTCATATAAGAAATAAGTCACAGCTCAAAAATCCTAAAATGTATCTTTATTCAATTGGACTGAACATGAATGTAAATGATGGAACAGAGGCCACATCTGGAGCCCATACAGGAAGAGTCAGAGCAGGAAGATGAAATCAAAGGAAGCAAAACAGGAGAAGGAGAGGAGGAAGAGGAGGAGGAGGAGGAGGGGGGGGATTTTCAAATACAACTAGGTGAGGAGACAAAGGAGGTTATGACAGAAGAAGAGAGTGAGGAAGGCGAAGATGATGCTGCTCTGCTGTGGGTTATGAGACCTAGGAGACTGTCTCGTTCACTCAGCCAAGAGAGTTTTCCTCAAATGCAATCTACCAACAATCACCAGGAGGAAACTGAGGATTCCTCTGTGTCAGATTGGAGCTCACATGCAGTGGATTTAAGTGATGAAGCTACCCCACCTGGGCAGGCAAGGTTAGGAAATGTGAAGAGGTCCATTAGTGGTGAGCTGAGAATGAAGGTAAGTCTTTAGGCACAATTCATTATCTGACAACACACAGTTCAAATGGGAAGGAGGTGATTCTCTATTGTTTTAAGATCTCCAAGATCAGATGGCAAAAACACACGCCGCCTAAACCACAGGTGCAGAAGAAGACAAGCAGGATAAGGCACAAGGAGTCGTCTCTTGTGAGTATTCTTTTGAATTTTTTATATTTTTAAATTATGGATTATAATGTAGTTCTTTCACCGATGTCTTCCAAAATGTTTCGAAGGAGGAGACGTTTCCTAAGTGGCTGGTGGACCTGATGGTCAACATTGAGGAGGCAACAACTCACCAACTGGTGGTTGAGTAACTCTCTTCACAGGCCTCACAAGGTGAATGTGAAACATTCTGGCATGTCAACCAATGACCTCGTTGGTGAACGTAGAATGTAGAACAAACTCATCACGGCCAACATGCCATATTAAGAGTTGGCACTAGCTAAGAGTAAAGTCCATGTGTAAAGTCACTGTTTCTTTTCTTCTGAATAAAGAAATAATAAGGATGATGAAAACATTTGTTCTATGTGTGTTTATGATATTTTGTTGTTGTTACCCATTGTATAATGTCAGCTTTAGCCTGAACCCTTTCACCTTTTTTCAGGTCTGTGATCTTTTGATTTTCTTTTGCCTGTGTCAAATGCCTTTTGAGGGGCCAAAAGCTCTCTCTTCAAACACACCCACACATAGTGGTTTATTTAACTTTTAAAAGAGCAAAAGGGGAGAGGTTATCTTTGAGCTTGTATGGTTCATAGTTTCATTTGAGTGTGGCTTATTTAAATAATGCAATCATTTCCAAATAATTATAAAACAAAGGAAAAAAGAAAATGCATTTCCATATGCATTGCCTATCAAGTGGCTCCTTTTGTGTATGTTCTACCAGATATTCAATGAGAAAGGTACTTATGTTCTTCCATATAGTCTCTTTTCCAGTGGTGGAAAAGTGTTCAGATCCTTTATTCAAATAAAAGAAGTAAAGTCAAATCAGAAGTAAAAGTATTAGGAATAAAAATGACCTGTGTCTGTGTGTATAGTATATTACATTACTGGATTATCATTTTTACTGATGTGTTTACAGTAAGTAGTATTTTAATCTATTAGTTGGTCAGTGTCACACAGTGAGCTAGTACTTATTTGCTCATCATTTTCATATTTTCCATTGCACTTTACACCACCTTCCCACAACCAACACCTGCAGATTCCAGGACCATGACAGACAAAAAATTTAAAAAAAGAAATACTTTGGTAAATAATCTTGATTATTTTATTGATATTCCTAGTTAAACCATTATAGTGCACTTATAGTGTTCAGCATGATTTTGAGTCATTGGATAGTGTTACATGTTCAATTCACTCAAATTAATTTTATTTGTAGAGTGCCAAATCATTACAGAAGTTATCTTTACCTTTCCATATAGAGCAGGTCTAGAGTAGTGTTGGTGTGTATATCACACAAGTCATGGTATCTGGCATTGCCTTATAGTTATGACAAATACTACACCAAAAAAACAACCAATTACTACTGGCTTTCTTCATACAAACATGTTGTGATTCTAGCAGAGCAATCCATAATGTTAGGGTTATGCAGTGCCAAAGGGGAATGATCTTGTTTATCAGTCTACCTGATAAGAGGAACCTTCACCAAAGAGACTAAAGGGGAAAATAGGGTTTTAGTGTAAAAACAGTGTTGAAACAAAATCTGTCAGCATTACAAAAGTCAGAGATTTTTTTAATCACCAGTCATTATCTCATAGCCTATGACTCCATGGATTATGTTGTATTCCTTATTGTGGATGTTACTCAATACTAGTTTATTGGTACATTTCTTTAAAAAGCAGTTTTCATGTTATTGTTGTCATAATCTCAAATGTAAAGACACAAATCAGTAATTTGGTCGTCCAAAAACAGGGTTGTTTTGATCCACAATCACTTTATGTTCCAAAGTCAATATTGACAGCAGACCTTGTGAATCTGGATCTACGCACGTCCAGCAGGGTCATCCACCGTTTACAGCAGCTTTGTCAAAAATATTTTACATCTGTAGTGTGTCAATCATTAACGCCTCTGGAGGCCAGGTTTCCACATAAATACTGCTAGTTCAGAGAAGTCAGTTTAGAAGGAAAAGTACAGTCATACTGAGCAGCTTAGAAAGGAAAGTCCAAAAAGAAGGAAGAAATTATTCATCTTAAAACTGGAGATGCCTGGATTATATGAGAAGCTGATATTGGTGGCGGCAGCATCATTTCTGGCCGTGGTGAGATCATCCCCAGTGGTGGGGCCGGAGCCTATCCGCTGTGCCCCCTGCACACAAGAGAAACTGAACAACTGTCCTGCCATCCCGGCAGACTGCCAGCAGGTGCTGAGGGAGCCTGGCTGTGGCTGCTGCATGGCCTGCGCTCTGGAGAAAGGAGCATCCTGTGGGGTTCACACAGCCCACTGTGGCGAGGGTCTCCGCTGCACTCCCAGGCCCGGGGAGGCCAGGCCGCTCCACGCTCTGACCAGAGGACAGGGGGTCTGCACTGAAGACCTGGGTCAAGGTAGTCTCAAAGTTTCATGGTTTTCTCTGTTTACTGTTAAAATGTCTAAATGCTTTACTTCTGAGCAGTATTATTTTTTAACATTAAAGTTGTTTTTGTTGTTTTTTTCTTAAACCTGTACAGAGGAAGCTGATGGAGTATCTGACCAAGGCTCCATGCAGTACCTGTTCGGTCTCAATGTTCCTTTTGACCACCAAGATGCTGCTGATGGCCAAGAGAGTATCAAGGCCAAGCTCAATGCCATCCGCAACAAACTGGTACAACAGGTGAGGAAAAAACATCAACCTCACAAATGAAGATTGAAAGTTATTTACCTTCCTTCCACTAGAGGGAGCCCTATGTTTTAAGGAACTGTGGATTTTTAAGAGATAATTGGGATTAACATAGTTTTGAAGTCAATCTATGGTGTATTTATTTATATGTGGGTGTAGTTCTCACTGTTTGCTTTTCTTTTTTGCACAGGGTCCCTGTCACATTGAACTTCATACAGCACTGGACATGATAACCAGCTCTCAGCAGAAACTGGGAGAGAGGTTCACAACTTTCTACCTCCCCAACTGTGACAAGCACGGCTTCTACAAGGCCAAGCAAGTAAGAATTTTAGGATTTCAAAAATATCAAATTCATTCATCTCGAAGCCACTGGGTGATTTATTCGTGTGGTTTCCCATCTCTGTTTCTCTTTCTCAGTGTGAATCATCTCTGGTTGGACCCCCCGCCCGCTGCTGGTGTGTCTCTTCCTGGAATGGGAAGAAGATCCCTGGATCGAGTGACCTCCTCGGTGACTCAGAGTGTCATCAAGAAGTCACTTACTGAAGGATGGACTGTCACTCATAAACATGCTCACACACACACACACACATACACACACACACACATATATATATATATATATAGACACAAGCAAACATGTTAATCATAACTTAAAATCAGGAAATAGTGACTTCCTTTTACAAAAAGACACTCATTCACACAAAATGTAACATCCTATATTTTAGATGGGGAAATTTCCTCTCATTTTATTTACTTGATGTATGTATCAAGACTTATTTATTCAGTGCTTGTATATTCTTACTAGCATTAACCATTTTGTCATTTTTAGATTTTTTATATGTTTGCCTATTTTTTGCGATTGTAAATAGGGCAACACTGTATACATTTGTTTCTGACTAAATAACTCCATTGCTCAAAACCACAGGTCCACAGCTCTGCCAAGCCCTCTTCAGGATCAGTTTTTTCTTTTTTTTATTCATTCAAAACTGGAGCTGTGCACGGCACGAAACAACACAGCCGCTCATTCATTCAACATGTTGACATTGTCTGAATGTATCTCCATTGGCGTTTCCTCAATGGGTATTGGGGGAAATACTTAAAGTGCCGCAAGTATGTGCACGGTGGCCAAGCACAAACATATCAGCACTCATCCAAGCCACTGTGAGGTTTGGTATGGGTTGTTCTGCATTTGTCTACCTCTACTAGTCTCTGCAGGTCCACAGGTTTAGCAGTGGATTGCTGAGGGGTCTTCTCAGCTTCACCTTTCTCACATTAGGGGCTTTTATTTGTCTTTTTTTTTTTTTAGCTATTCTAGCATCTATTCAAGTATTTATTATGATTTACTTGCGTGTTTATGCTGTTGTTTGCTGTTGAGCTCATGTGCAGTGGGCCAAATTGTTTGTGAATGCTGTTTGCCAGGAATGCTGCTATTCCATTATTGGTTTCGTTGAAACAATGTACATATTCTTCTAATTCTGTGGATGTGCATCCAATTAAAATGTTATTTCATCATGATGGGGTCATGTTTGAATGTGTTTTTCCAACAGCCCAAAAAAGTTTCTTACATGCTCAAAAAGGCGAAATGAAGAGAAAAAAAAGAAAATGCAATACCTGGATAACTTTATACTGCCTTTATTAAGTAAAAATAGACCTCTGAGGGTTGCATTGTACATGCAAACATCGTATTTACTTAAACCAAGGCAAGTGATGAAAATGATCACTGGCTATGCAGAGATCAGAGATAATTTTTATCCCAAAAATTCAGCTTATGCAAAGTGACAACAAAACAGTAACAACCACAGTACAGAATAAAGGAAATATCCCTCTTTCTGTGGCTCAAGATCAAGCATAAAAACTTTATACACACTGTAGTGTTTGAGCTGCACAGTCCAGCAGTCCAACTCCCTGAGGAGCAGGAAGCAACCGGAATAAATGGAATTCATAGGAATAGGAATTCATAGTAAGGCACTGCACGCTTACTCTGAAGAACATATTCATACATACATACATTTTATGGTTGTCATAACCCCACGCAATGTCTTTATAACAAATCACAAGCATACAAATTACGATTACACATCACAAGCATGTACACATGTGCAATGCCACTTAGTTGTGCGTAAATGAAGAGCACTCTCATCAAAGTTTGTGGCAAGTACAAAGGTCTCTGTTTTATAATCAGAATAAGGCTTCTGGGATCAATTCTTTAAGTGTATCCTCTTCTCAGAAGTTGTCCTTGTTGGGTCAGAGACAAATAGCTCATGAAGAATCCATCCATCGCACAAAAGTTCAGACTGCATCTGTGACACAGAGGCTTTTTTTTTTTCTCCTCCTGGTACTCTTCCTCTGTTCCCTTCGCTCTGCCTCAGAAAAGGTCCCACAGGCAACAGATAGAAATAGCAAACATCCATATATCGGCTGAGCCATCTCTTGACCTCTCTCCCAATATCCTCAGTGTCTCCATTTGTTTACAATTCTTCTCGTGCTCACTCCCACCCTCCCCTCCCTCTGTCCTGCTCTGCTCCTATTGGCTCTCGGAGTTGTAGTACTGGGCGTCTCCTCGCTCCTTCCCATCAAAACCTGGCAAGGGCTGACCGTATTTGTCCACACACCAACAGAAACCTCGCTTTCTGCCTTTGGATGGACGGCACTGAAAGTGAAGGAAGGGACAAGGTGAAGGGAGGGAAGAGAAGTGCAGGGGGGGGGTGGGGGAAGCTAAATGTGCAAATTCAGATGAATATCCAGCATTATGGGTAACAAGCCACTTTACTCAATGAAGTAGAACAGCAATAGTTAAGAGGCATTAATGGTCAGATTGTGCTGAGTCGACGCAGCCTTGGTTATCCAACACGCTCTGGTATTTTGAGCTGCTTTTATGGTCTACCTCCTGTTACACACACATATAGAGACCTTTAAGGTAAACAGAAACCTGGTAAAATATTTGCTTAGTCCCGTTTGTGAACAACTGAGAACCAAGATCTATTTTCAGAAGCCGGTGGCCAGTACGAATCATCTGTTGCTGATTATACCCCACAGCTCCAAATTATGGGTACTACAAATGACTTACAGAGTCTGTGGAGCTACCCAAGGGCTGTTATTTTACTGCCAATTTTACTAAAGGTCAACCTCCACTCTAGTAAAACATGCAGCCAGTCATTTCAAGGGCTAAAGCAACTGTGCTGCTGTTCCACAGAGGAGTCAGAGCTGATCAGGAAGGGAGGCATCCTTATTTAGTTCAATATGTCACCAGCATTTTGACTGAAACGCTGATCTGAGCTGAAGCAGGACTCTCTTGTTGTCAGACCACCGTTGCACAGGAAGTAGAGTAGATCGTGTTATGTTAAAGTTGGAAAAACTAATACAGTAATCAAAATTTTAAGCACAGTTTACTGAAGAAAGTGCTTCTGCTTTCAGCATTAAATCTATCCTGGGTCATTTTTTTTTCTCTGTCAAGATATTTGCTGTTATTAAGAGCTGTAATAAGAGATGTTTTTGCTTAAAATCATGCAAACGTCCAAATTAAACTGACCAAAATGAAATGTCTGCCACTCCTTCAGCGCCTCAGGGCTCAGCATAGTACACTGGGTCCATTCTACATAAACAAAGACAATGAGCCTGGCGTTGTGAGGCTGGTTATGAGATGATTGCAGGTCAAGGAGAACACTTCCATTAAGCAGGAGGGACTGCTGTGTTATAAGAAAAGCTGCCTCGGTGATGCAGTGGCGCGGGAGCCCTAAGTGCCTCCATATGAATGCGTCAGAACCACTCATTTATCACAACCCGATCGTGGGTGAACCACGTGAGCGTGGGGATGGCTACAGCTCTATTTCTGTGCATGCTTCTCAAAAGTCCAGCAATTATGGGGGGAGCGCATCGGGTGCCGGTGGCCACCTTGACGTCTGTCTCCCTGGGAGGGTTCCCGTTAAACGGCCATCGTCCCAGCCGTCAACCCCACTGGGGTTTGGCCCCTGTGGTTCCTGTCTCCAGAGCCAGTGGCTAGGGTCTACCTCACTGGTGTGGTGGTGCAATGATGAGGCTCTAATAACTACCAATGAATACAGGAGGACAGCTACAAATCTGTAATTGGGCTGCGTTTGAGTCACAAAGCTTCAGCACTGAATCTTTGTTAATGCAGCATGTAAAAAAGGAAGTGCTGGTTTCCTTTTTTACAGTCTTTTAAAGTTGTAAACAAGTTTTTATTAAGTATTGTGTAGCCTCTCATGAAACTGATGCACACATTTGGGCATACAGACAATATCAAACGATGGTCCTTTAAATGTGTTTCCTTACCTGTTTTTTCTTATAGAAGCCCTTCTTGTCACAGTTTGGTATGCGGAAACCTCTGGGGTTGAGAATGTCTGTAATCTTGAGGCTGCTGAGAATGCTCTCAATCTCTCTCCGACAGGGACCCTGCAGATGAGGAAACACATAAGAAGTTAGTGTACATTCTCCAATGCTTAAACATCTCTGGCATGTGCACGCTTTTTTATTCTGCAGTGTGATGTTGACATGAATTCTCTGCTTTTTAAAAAAATAAAATAAAGACGTTAACTAAGCTGACCCACGCTGCATCACACTTTGATAATACCCAAACAATGGTGGCTGCAATGTGAAAGAGGTGATGGATGAGAAATTAATTAATCTGACCAACTTGTAGCGGCTTAACAGTTACAAAAGCTGCTTAGAACTCTTACACTTTACACAAAGGATGGGGGATAACGTGAATTCAAAGAGCTCAAAGGAGCCAAAAAGGCTTGTCCTCAAGTCCAAGTACTCCAGTCACTAATCAAAGCAGCCAGTCAAAGCCCATTACTAGTGTGTGCTCACTTCTCTGGCCAAAGAGAAGATCAAAATAGCAGCAGGGCTTCCCAACAGGCACTCGCATAGGCCAATCCATCATTCGTTGGCTCCCAGTACACCCGGCACGCGGACGCCTTGTGGCCAAACAACCGCCTGACCCAGGTCAGCCGCAGGGCCATCGTACCCGCTCGCTGCCATGCCATTCTACTGCTCTCGATGCCTGCCAACCGTCAGCACCGCTACCCAAAACATTTCATCACCCGCAGGGGGAGAAAAACACCAAAACACAGAGGAAGAGGAGAAAAACATTCCTCCAGTGTGCTCTGAAGACAGAAAAATATTGGTTGTGGTACTTACATACTCAGGCTCCTGTTTGGTCTCCAGCGAGAAGTTTTGTTGGTCTGTGATGAGTGGTCCCGGGAGCTCCTCCATTTTAAAGCTCTGGGTTCTCTTCTGCTGCTCCCGTCTGAGGACTTCTGACTTGGCGGAGGGGAAAAAGGGGTGAAGAGGAGGTCTCAGGGGTCCCGTGGGTCTGTGGGTGCTGTACGAGGTTTGGAGGCCTGAGCCGGTGGAATTCCTCTCCTCGTCCTGAGTCTCAATATTTTCTGCTGAAGTTTTAGAACAACATGTGTTGTTTATTCACATAAACTAAACTCTAGGATACATAATATTTCATTGAAGGTGTAATTAAGGATAATAAGGAGTATTTCCAATTCGGATTGACACATATCAATTTTTATCAGCAAGCTGGTGGTCACTTTGAAGGTACAAGTGCTACATTTCAGCATTTCTTTAGATGATATTCCATCTATAGAGGGAAATGAACAGAAATAGGCCAAATGCCAATCAACAACTCTTTTAAACAAAACTTTTAACTAGGGCACAAAAAAGTTTCTTATGCTTTAACCTGTCCCATCCTTCACCTTCTGTTTCCAAATGAAGAGAATTCATTGGTCGAAATCAATTAGGGATTGTGGCTTTTAATCAGGATTTCTCCCAGTGTATGCCATGGAATTAAGCTGCTGTGTATCATAACAGAAACACATCCCCACTCCTCTAGAGGAGTTAGAAGATTGTTCCCCTAACCTTAAAAGAAACACATTTTCATTTTAGTGTTTAGACGCTTGTAGATTCAATTAGGGTAATAAATAAAAGTCTGTACACTTGTTGCGCATTAATTTGCGTATACAACGACTTTAAGACATTCTCAAACCTTAATTTACACCTATAGCTGCTAAACAACTAAGTATCTAAAGTGAACATAGGACGCACAAGGAAAAGGGTTGCGCGCACAAGCGTTACCTGGAAGTTCATTGACCGGAGGTGTTGGTCTGGCGGTAAATCGTCTGTTAGTAACGTTTGCACAAATCCCCCGTCCCTCCAGCAGAGCCTGCAGAGGTTTCGTCTCACCGGGCTGATGCTGACAGGTCAGTCCGGAGCCACATCTCCCGGTGTACACGCCGCACGGCTGGCCGAAGCTCAGAGCGCAAGTCATGCAGCAGCCGCAGCCCGGTTCGCGGACTTTCTCGGCGCAGTCCTTGGGTAAAGGTTTGCACAAAAGCCGCGCTCCAGCATCACATGGCTCGCATTTGATAACCGGTCCGACCGCACCTGACCTCCGGGTGAACGATGCCAGGACAAAAGTCATGCAAAGTGCGCGAAAACAGGAATCCATTGTGGCGTCTGAGATGGTGTCAAAGTGGAGGAAGCGC